CTGGAGGGAAGGCAATCTTTGTTGTAAAATGTCAAAGAATTTGGCTAACTGTGTGCTGGTGTTTTGTGAAAGGTGGAAATTGCAAGTGATGAAATGTAGATATTTAGCTGAGGACATTTCTAAGGAAAGCCTAGAAGGAGTGGTTTGGTTCGTTCTGACTCTTGCAGCAAAATGTGAAAGGAGAAAGAGAAATTGAAAAAGAATTATTAAACAAAAAGGAACAAGATTTTGAAGATTTGGGAAATTCTCAGCCATTCCATGTTGCATAGAATGGGAACTCTTGTTCTGAAGAGAACTGAGACTGAGCAACCATTTGGTAAGAAGATTAGCATGAGTGTAAACATGAAGCTAACCAGCCTTGCAAGCCAGAAATAGAGATTGAACGTTAGAAGCTACAACACTACCAGTTTAAACTGAAGGGTATAGAGACAGAACAAAATGAAGGAGGATGCTTGGACTTCTTGAGTCATACAGGACAGGGCCATAAAAATAATATGTTGTGAATGTGTCCTATTCTTCAAGCAACTCAGAGATCATCAAGACTGCCTCATGCCTGGTGTGGAGGTGCACGCCTGTAATTCAAACAGCTTGAGAGGCTGAGGCAGGAGGATCACGAGTTCAAAGCCAGCCTCAACAAAAGTGAGATGCTAAGCAACTCAATGAGACGCTGTCTCTAAATAAAATACAAATAGGGCTGGGGACATGGCTCAGTGGTTGAGTGCCCCTGAGTTCAATCTCTAATACCCCCCACCCCACTCCACGCCCCCCAAAAACACTGCCTCATCAGTTTCAGAGAGAGGGGACATCGCCCCAGCTTTATTAGGCCAGACAGCTTCCAATCAAAGCTTTGGGGTAGGACCATCCTGCAGACCCATGGAGGTGAAACCACTCAGTGGAGCCTTGAACCAGGACTGTAACACCTGTAGGTCCAAAAGGTGGGGTAACATCCAAGCAAAGAAGATTATCTTTAGGCCTTAAGATTTAATGAATCGGACATAACTTTTCTATGTACATATATGAATACACAAACAGTGAATCTTACCATCGTATACATCCGCAAATTAATTTAAAAATAATAATAACATTGGGTAAATAGCAGAAAGAGCAATAAAGGGAAGGAAGCAGGGTGTGTGAGGAGGGTAGGGAAAGGATAAATACTGGGGTCTGAATTAGAACAAGATATATTCCATTCTTGTATAATTATGTCAAAAAGGATTCAATTGTTATATATAACTAGAAAAGAACCAATTTTAATAAGTGGAAACTCATTAAATTTTTCTTTTAGAACATTAAAAAAAAATTTCAGTGGATCTAATGGAATCTGCTAGGCTTTAGACTTCCCTGGGACCCTCACTCCTGTCTTTTCTTGTACCTACTTATGGAATGGGAACACTTTTCCTTTGCCTGCCCTACCATTGTATTTTGGCGGTACATTGCTTGATTGCTTGTCTGGTTTCACAGGTTCACAGATGAAGAGCAATTTTGCCTAGCAATGAATCATGCCTGTGTTCTCACCCATATATGACGTATGTGAGATTTAGATGATATTTTGGATGTTAGACTTCAGAGTTGATGTTGAACCAAGTTAAGACCTTTTGGAATCGTGGAATGTGATGAATGTACTTTTGCATGTGATAAGGACATGAATTTTGGGACAGCCAGGAACAGACTTCGATGAACTGAATTATATGCCCCCACTCAATGTAACTGTATTTTAAGGTAGAATCTACAAGAAGGTTAATTTTTAAATGAGGTCATAAGGTTGGGTCCCCTTCATAGAAGACTAGTGTCCTTATAAGTTAATGAAGTTCTCTCTCACCCCATTGGAGAACAAAGTAAAGACTGTGCCAACTACCAGCCACAAAGATAGCCCTTGCCAGAGACCGAATTGGTTAGCACTTTCATCTTGGACTTCCCATCCTCTAGAACTATGAGAAATACTTTTCTGCATATTTAAGCCACCTAGACTAGTATTTTGTGTTAGCAGCCTAAGCTAAGAACCTACCATTAGTAATCTTCCTGCCACCCTATCTAGGGATGCAATTCCCCGCTTCATCATACTTTGCTCAATTTATTCAACTCTTCATGCATATTATCATCTAAATTTCAATAAATGTATTTAAATTTATCTTGATTATTTTTGTCTTCCCTGGTTACAACATAAGCTACATGAGGGCAAGGAATATTTTGTTTTATTCACTGTTGCATCTCCAACACCTGGATACTGCCTTATCATCTTGACATTGGAGCAGCAATATTTAACATGCTGAGGAAGATTGAATTTATCCTAGAAACTCAGGAAAGACAGACAAAAGAATATAATGAACCCAAAGAGTACAAGTAAAAAATAAAAATTTACACATTAACTAAAATTAGAAGAAAAAGAATGCAAACCCGGTAAAAGAGGATTGTATAAATGTACCCTTGTAGCAAAATGTATCTTTATCAGCAGTCTAAAAACTAGTTCTTAAATTTCATAAGAACAAATTACTAGGAAAAATGAGTACTTGCAGGAATTTGTAACACATATTACTCTGTGGTCAGTCCAAGAAAGTAATATGTATTATTTGCTTTGCGGGAGAGTAAATACTGTGAAATAATGGACACAAATCCATTTAAGCATAATAGTTATCATATTTCAATTTATTTCCATGTAAATTGGTTGTTACATACTGAGTTAGTACAAAGAATTATAAAAAAGATAATTAAATGCATTGGAAAATATAAAAAAATAAGTGCAGCATATTAGCCTACGTGATTTTTACTAAAAATCTTTGGATTATGAAAGCACCACTTAACTCCCTATTTGAAATCTCGCAACAAACTCACTGCCAAAAAGCATGTTCTATATTGAATTAGATCATCATCTCACAGAATACAGAATGTGCATTTCTAAGGCGAATCTATGTTCAACAACACACCAACATATTTTGGTACCACTAAATGTCAAGCATTATTCATGTGGAGTATTAACAGATTAATGTTTTCATTAAAAAAGAAAGATCTCTTTTCTCATTACATTATGCATTTATAGAATAGAGATCTGTCAAATAAATTACTACAAAGTAGTTTAAGCTAAACCTTATAACACTTGAATTATATAATCGGGGCAAATAACCTTTAAAATGAAAGACAAATGGAAAAATTTAAGGGCATTTAATTTGCATAAATGTAATGTTAACAGTCTTTTCCTGGTTATATATTTTATACTTAATTTATATATGTCACTATACTAGGTCCTTAACACTTTTATAGGTCAATTTTAATTTTTTCCCATTTTACTGTACCATAATAAGTAATATGAAAGTAGTTTATCATATATAAAAATAAGATGATCCCATAAAAGTAATTCAGTGTGTTTCAGAAACATTCTAGCATTGGGACCATATTACAGTTCTTGTGTTGTCAATTCCTGCTTTTAAATAGACATTTATGCTTTAGAATTCTCATGTGTCTAAAACTCATGTACAGCTTTTGGACTCTGAGACCTTAATTTAAGGGACTTTCTCCAGGTTATCAGCTATCGGGTCCTTGGTGTGAGGGATAAACCTTAGGGTAAAGGACTTCCTGCAGTTCATGGTCTGGTCTTCCTTTTCTTTGAATTTGATACCCAAGATACTGACTTTAAAGTTTTATCCATTAAACTTCTACTATAAACATTGAAATGCATTCAAATGCAGTTGTTCAGACAATATGGTGTCAGCATTAACAATAAGATGGAACAACTATTCATTGATTAACATAATGATTTTAATGTCATCCATGGTTCATAATCTCTAACAAATTAGAAAATGCTTCTAGTGCATGAATTCAATTATAGGCTAAAGTTGCATAGTGAAATATCAATTTATATGCAGTCAAATGTATTTTCTTTTCTTGACTTTCCTTGACTCATGTTTATCTGCCAGTGACCAGTGGGTTAGAAATGGTGAATATGACTACCATCCACCATGGGAATTATTTAATTGGATAAAGCAGAGTGAAAATCCTTTCAATAAGGACATTTTACCTCCAATTACTGCCTCTGCTTTTCTCTGGAACAGTTTTTGATGGGAATGTGAGTTACCCTTGTTTATTTCAATTAAAACTAGTAACAAAAGGATTGAGTCTATCTGGGGGACCAAGATTATTCTTTGTAGTTCATTCAATAAAAATTAAAATGGCTTGGATACATATGAGAATTAAAACATTGATTATTCTTTCATTTTATTATGTTACCCTACCTGAGAGTTAATGTTAAAATTAAGGATCATCTGAATATTTACCACACATTTGTTAGAGATCATTACAAACCAGTTGACAGGAGCTGGGATTGACTCTTATAGAGCCCATGAAAGAACATACATGACAGTCTTCATTTTATTTCAACCTGCTTGTCAGACTTGTGAAATACCTGGCTTTTTCTTATACTGGTAGTTTCTAGAATAGTTAAAACACCATTAAGACTAAAGCATAATTATATATCTATGCCTATTTTGAAAATGAGATTTCTTCCTACCTAGATCAGTTTGTTAGAGAAAAATATGAAATTATGTGCTTTCACGCAATTAAAAATATATATACAAGCATGAAAACATTAATTTATCCTGTTCAGCCTGGCCATTAGTATTTGCCAGTTTTCTGGTTGGTTTGGTGAGTCTATATATAATCAAGCTCTTATCTAACAAAAGGGAAAAAAAACATACTATGTAGACCCCATTCATCCACCTATCTATCTAGATATGGATAGATAAATATATTTTATTGAATGTCTCTCTGAACTAAGTCAGAACTACAACAGTTAATCTTACAGTGAAGGAGCACATGGCAATTCTACTGGTGGCATTTTCTCACCTAAACATCATATTTGTGAAGAAAAGATATAATATACTTCCACATTCCCTAGCTCAAATAAAACTAAAACAGAAAACAGAGCTTCTTGTAGGGTGGGATTGTGGCATTTGGAGCACTCTGTGAAGATTCTAAGCATTTCCAATACTCAAAGCAAAAACAGACCAATGTAAAGAACTTGATTTTATTTGGATACCAGTTTTCTTCCAAATATGAAAACATTCTTGAATACTTCAGGAGTGAGTGCATTGAAGGATATAGAGATCAATGACTTCAATTTGTCATTTTTTGGTCACCTGTTTCTGATTCCTTTATTTCTGTGAATTTCATATCCTAATGTACAGAGTAAGATTTATTCCTATTGGTGTTTAAATGGCTTTGGGGGATACAAGGTACAGGAAAATGGCATATTTGCCAAGTTGTTTTGTGTATTAGTTACAGATGATCTGAACTTTTACAAATGAATTCTAAGGATTCCAAATTTCTCAGTTTTAAAGATAAGCTTACAGCAAAATAGAAGTAAAACAAAACAAAATGCTGTAATAAAATGAAAGAAAATCATGTTTACTCTTCATACACTAAAGCTAAATGCATTGTGATTTTTTAATAAAATAACTAAGTGAATTTCCTTACTAACAAAGATTAGGAAAAAAAAAAACTTTTGGCAAATCTTGACCAACGTTATGCAGTTACAAATTCACATCAACTTATTGGAGTGGAGGTCACATGCAGGATCGATACAATAAAATTTTTAAAAAATGTGCAAAATGCCAGTACATGGCTTTTTCAGAGAAGTTCCTAGAGTCAAGATCCATACTGCAACAAATGAGGCTCAGACCTCACTGTGGTCACTGAGTTTGTTGAAGTTCTGAAATAGAAGAGGAAGAAATAAACATACACTGCTTATTCAACTCTTAAATCAGTACCATTGGAAAAGAACAGTAGAAAGAGAAGCCAGCTATCCAGACACACTAAGAAAATGGACAGTCTATGAGGCAGGAGAGTATGAAGTTTACAGCTCCAGACCCACGGTCAGACTGCTAACTCTGAAACCAGCTCTTCCACTTACAAATGGCATAATGTCCATGGCCCTCAGTTTCCCCATTTTGAAAAATGTTAAATAATAGTAGCTACCTCTAAAGTTGAGACAAGTTTAGTTAATTAATATAGATTGTAACCTTTAGAATATACCTGGAAGATGGTAAGTACTCAAAATATGAAGGGTATATAATGGGGATGATGGTGATAATAATCATCATAATAAATATTATTATTTTGCAAATACATACTCTTCTGATTAAATATAATAAAGATGATTCTATTAGGCACCAAATACTGTTCTAGGGATGAAGGAAGGCAAAATGATTCAAAAGTCACGGAAAAAGTGCAGGAAGTCACAGTGCTGGAAACAGTTTTAAAACTAAGTCATAAAGTCCGATATTTGGAAGGTAACTTTCATACTTCAGATCATGGGAGCACTAGAATCTTCAAATAATATTCCCAAAGATGGCAATCTAATAAGCTTGGAGGAAAGCATCAGAGCAGAAAAACTGGCAAGCTATATTTAGAGTTTTTATATTTGTCAGAGGTAGATTCAAACTTCCAGGACAATAGATCCCAGAAGAAGCATTAAAGCAAGCAGTTTGCAATTGACAGGTAAGGCCAAATCCTCTAAATAGTAACATTGTAGTAAGATGCAAATTATTAAATAATTATTCATAACTGTCCCCAAAAGATGAATGGAAATATTATTTTTTGTTACAGATACTCTGAAGTGGAGATTAGAGGGATTTTAATAGATTTTAGATGTTAGTGAGTTAAAAAGCTAATACACAAAAAAAAAATGCAAAGCCTTAATTCTATATTCTATATTTTTTACAACTCTTGCAAGCTCGTGTTATCAACTTACCTTGTTTGAATAAATGTTACTTATTGCAGCAGATACTGATTCAAAAAAAATTGGTTTCTCCGAGTCTAGGTTTCCATAGTACTTCATTGCTTTTATCAAGGAAGCTAAGAGAAAGCAAAGGAAAACACCAAGATACATGAAGCAATAGAAGGATCATGTTCAGTGTTAGCCAAGGACACCCTCTTACCTGTGCAATTGGCTAATAATACATCCACACTCTGGTCCTTACAGTCCATGTACACCTGGAAGAATTAAAACAATACACCCACAATTAATTCAGAATAGCTAGCAAGAAGGAATAAAACAGGAATTGAGTGTCTTGTTTTAAAAAAAAAAAAAAAAAAAAAGTATGAAGTCAACCACCAGAGGGAGACATGGCTACATAGTCGGTCACAAACTGGCAAGCATCTAAAAAACTAAGGTTAGTATGAGTGAGGCATCTACCTTGACTACAATTAAGTCTGGCTGCTTATGTTTTCAACTTGATTGAATAAAAATCAAAACATCATCTTTCCTTTCCTGTAAGAATGATATAAAACTGTTCTCAACCACTCGTATTATAAGTCAAGAAACCATTTGTGAAATTAACCTGCTGACCTGCTGCATATTTTAATATTTTACAATAATTTAGCATATCTATGGACTGGATAAATTCTACCCAGGGATGAAAAATTGAGAATATTACTATGATTCACACAATTTTGGTTTTCCAACTTTCTTTTTTTGGGGGGGGGCATTGAATTTGAACCCAGGGGCGCTTTATTATTGAGCTATACCCCAGTTCTTTTTGTTTTTATTTTGAGACAACACACTAATCTTTTTAGGACCTGACTTATTTGCTGAGGCTGGCCTGGAACTTTCAATTCTTCTGGTTCAGGCTTCCCACTCCCAGATTACAGACATGGACCTTGGACCCAACTGGATTTCCATGTTTAAAGGTCTATCAAGATGAGAAATCCTTACTAATTTCCTTGGCATACTTTATTGTCTTGCCCCTTAAGTTCCAAAAAAAAAATCTCAAGAAGGTACAATTTGTGAAAATCTCTGATCTTAAATTCATCCAGAACAAAATCAACCATGAGAGTCAATGACAGTAAATCTAGACATTTTAGTTTCAGGAGGATAAATTTGGTTATATAATTGTTATATATCTTTCATGAAAAGTGTAGAAATCTACATTTGCAATACAGTCTAAGGGTATATGTAATACATCCCAAGGGTCCCTCAGATTCTTTCAGCAGCAAATAATTTTCTCTATGAAAGACTAATTGTGAAATAATATTTATATCACTTGGGGAAAAATGATCAAACAAAACATAAAAGAAAAGAAAATATGGACTTAGACTTTAACATTGAATAATTGGCTCCTGCTTGTGTTAAAATAATTAATTCAAGGTGACCTCTTAGTGTTTGACTTTTTCTTCAGCTCAGTGGAGCACAAACACATTGCTATGGGTGGTTTGCTGATGCTGATAAACATAATCTCCAGTTCACTGACCTCTCTCATGTCCCAAGTAAAAGAATAAATAGAAGTCATCCCACTTCCTTCAACCTACAACTTCCAGGGAAATGTTCCTTATGCTAAAGTGACCAAGAAGTGTTAACCAAGGGAGTGTTAACATCTCTGGCTAAAGAAGTCCTGTGGCTCTTTTCTCTGGCTTCTCTTCCAGGGTAGCTGGAACTAAGAAATAATATTAGTTGCAATGATATTAGTTGTACTTTATGAAATGACTTGTTAGAATTAGAAAATGGAAAGCTAACATTATTGAGTACTTATCAACTGGCAGACATTTTATTAGGTGGATTTTTTTGTTTGTTTTGGCATTGGACATTGAACCCAGGGACACTCTACCACTGAATTATATCCCCAGTCCTTTTTACTTTTTATTTAAAGACAGGGTTTTGCTAAGTTGTCCAGGCTGGCATCTAACTTGAGGTCCTCCTGCATAAGCCTCCTGAGTTGCTAGGATGACAGGCATGGCCAACGCATCCAGCTTCCTAAGTGCTTTATATGTAATATATCCATTCTAAGTCTCATAACTTGATGAAATGGATACCTCTACTACTGGTTCCTAGAATTGCAAACAAACATTTGATCCTACCCATGTTAAGTTGTCTATTGTATATAATAATGTTATTTAAATAATGAGGAAATAAATCAAATAGTAATAAGAAATTTTTTAAAAAGGGAATACTAATATAAAACCACCAGCTTTGTATAGACAGATATATATACACCTAGCCAAGGGCAAATGTTATTCTCTGCCAATTTAAAAATAAATTGGGCTGGGGATGAAACTCATGGGTCAAGTGCTTGCCTAGCATGAATGATAACCTGGATCCAATATCCAGTACCACAAAAAATAAATAAATACAATTAGATAAATAGATTGCATCTGTTGGTTTATTTCACCATTCGGCGGTATAAAATTTTAAAACCATAAATGAGAAAGAAAAACAAAAAAACAAGTTCTTTTTCAACATGCCCAGTGCTTAGATTGTTTGGATTCCTCTGAATTGTCAACCTAAACTCAATGGGAAGAGGTAACCACTTCCTCTTCTTTTATAATCCTGTCTTGTTTTTAAATGTCTAGAGAGGGCAGCTAATAATTTCAGAAACAAATTTAAAATGCAATTGATCAAAAAATATGTATACCAGCCTTTCCGAGTAAAAGAACAATTCTAGTCTCCTGTTTCTCAAAACATGATCCCTGGACACCTAGAATTACCCAGGGTTGTTTAAATGAATATTATGGACCAGAATCAGGATTCAAACAAATGCATTTCGAAGGAGTATCCAAATTACCTTGAAGCATAAAAGTTGAAGACTTTGGAAACACGAGTAAATAAAAAATGCCGAACATAAAAAACCTTCCAGTGGAGAATGGCTATGTGTTTGCAATCCAGGTTTAGTTGCAAGAAAATACAAAATATTTAGTATACTGTACAAAGCTTTTATGTTAATAAAAAGAAGGAAAAAAGTATAAAAGGGTAATTTGCCAAAAGTAGCCAATAGATTTAAAACCTGAAGTATTTAAATTTCAATTGTTTTGTATTATTTATTTTCTTGATATATCTCCCAATCCAGAATCAAAATCACTGCCTCATTTCTACAAAGGAATCAACTGAGATCCAGGTAGGGGACATGACTATTGATACCTCAGTGTGTATGACAGAGCCAGTGCTTTCCCTCCACATGCTCCTGCCTAGAAAAGTGACAGGCCGGCTTACCTCTGTACTTGCTTGACTTTGAAAAGTTCAACATTTCAAAATCTATTTAAAATACCAATGAATGGAGACTCAGGTTTGCATTCTCACAAGAAAACCATCAAAATTCACAATGTAAAACAATGTCAAAGCTATAAATCCAAACACTTTAAAAATCAATGTCTGGCCGGGCATTGATTGAAATCTCAGTGGCTCTGGAGGCTGAGGCAGGAAGATCATGAGTTCAATGCCAGCCTAAGCAAAAGTGAGGTGCTAACCAACTCAGTGAGACCCTGTCTCTAAAATAAAACACAAAATTGGGCTGGGTATGTGGCTCAGTGGCTGAGTGCTCCTGAGTTCAACCCCCGGTACCCCCCCAAAAAAAAGTTAATGTCCGATTTCTACTTTTAGCCATAATGAGTAACTAATGAGAGACCAACCCATCTTCCACAAACAAAGAGACAATTGGACAACAACATACAAACAACTGTATTTAGACAATAGGCCTCCAGTGGTTTAGGACCAAGTCTCCTAAAAGCAGCAGGACCAATGAGACAAGTCCTCCAGAGCTCAGCTTCTTGCCACAAAGCAGATTCCCAAATCCACTTTGGTGTGGATTGGGGAGATCCAAGCAAAATGAGCTGCTTATATGGATTGAGAAGACAGAACAGGAGTTCGGGGAGGGGAGATGGTAGAGAGAATATAGAAAGGAAGAGGACTTGCAGAGAAAATTTTCTAGAAATTTTCACAGTATTTTGATTAAGGCTTTGAGTTAATACTAAGCTGCTCAGGAGATATGAAGATAAGAAGATTGGATAGAAAGGATATGAAGGAGATAAAGATTGCTAGGGAACCAGCACCTGAAGACCAGCCACACTGGTGCACAAACACTGGTAGAGGACTGAGAATAGAGGTTTTTCCACCCTCAATCTGTTGTCCCACCCCAATCTTCAATTTATAATATTGAGGGGGAGGATTGAAGGAAATAAGGAAGGGGGCAAATTCCTTATTGATTTAGTGTTTATTTTTAAAAAATAGAAAGAGAAAACAAATGCCAGAAGTATCTTAAATTTCCTTGAATTCTCAAAATTAAGTGTTCTTCCATCTGTGGAAATGAGGTTTGTGAGTTATGGGGGTTTTCAACAATGGACTTGTGTTTTGCACATGTCAGTCATGGAGAAGCCATGGAGATCATGGCATAGAGGAGGCATCATTGCCAAAGAGAATAGAGAAAAGTCCCTGAGTGGGGCACTTTTTGAGAGGCCAGGAATAGTATTGGGCCACCATGTGAGAGAACAAGGCCATTTGATCATGCAGTCGGCGTTCTGTAGGGGACTTTTACTCTTTTGGAAACCTTGCATGCCAACTGCTATAGATGCTATGCCCACCACATCTCAAGGCTGTGTTTTATACCTACCCAGTAAATACTCCATCTCTGATCCTCACACATGTACATACTTAAAAGCTTGATGGGATCCCCCGAAAGCAAATCTACAGTGGTATGAAGTACAATGTCTTATGTCCCTTCAAGGGAAGGAATATCAGACTTCGGAGCTGAGAGAATGGCTGATGAAGAATCCTGTTACTCAAATTATGTTATATGCATGTATATGCGATGGTGAAACCTACCATTCTGTGTAATTAATATACACCAGTAATTTTAAAATAGGCCTGTTACTAAAGAGAAGGGAAGGAATCAATCCAGACACAGACTGTGAATACCTCAACCAGCATGGCGACGCCAGAATAGTCAAAAAAGGTCAAGCCACTGCAATCCAGGATTAAGGCCGACTTGTCGTGAGAGCTTGACTGTGCAGTTTCCTCTGTAGGAAGAACAGAGACTTCAGTTAGGGAATATTCACAGACGTTTTTGCTGCTGACTTCATTGAATGGTGTCAAGACAATAGTGACCTTGTGTTTAAAAATAATAATTCCAAATGCCTCTTCATTTTTACATTTTCAGTTAATTACTAATTATTTCTGAACTTGGATATTTTATTGTTAGGATGGTATTTAAGGTAATTATCACATAACTCAGAGAGGAAGGCAGGGTAGTTTAATTACCAGTATCATTTCACAGATAGACAAATGGGGTAGGCAAGTTTAAATGATTTTGAAAAGATATCTAACAAGTTAGAACTAAACAAGGGTAGAACAGAGGCCTCTAAGGATATGCTTTCCATGATATTACATGTTTCCTTGATGGGTGTGCCCAGAGGAACAGCCCTGTTTTGTGATGCTTGAGGTTTACACAATCTGGGATTCACACTTTAAGTCAAAGATCCATTTCTGCGGCCTGTCCCACAAATTTTAAAGGGACCTGTATGACAGACCCTGAAAATTAAGCTTTATTTTCATAGTAAAACTGCCTAAAACTGCCTCTGAATGTATTTGATAGGAAAGAAAGAAAAGATGCTACTTGGGAATTTATGGCTTATTTTTGGTTGACATTCTCAAGGCCACAGCTTCCTCATGTGAGATGATGTTTCTAAATGGTGACAAGTCCCATTTGGGATTCCTCTAAACATAACATAGCTCTCAGAGAAGACCATGTAGGCTTAATGTATCCCCAGAATTAACAGTCAACATTTATGAGATAAATTCCAATTCATAATTATCATGAAATTCTCTGGAAAAAATTAATTCTTAATTAGAATAATTTTGCTAGTAAAAATTCTCAAGGTTTCTCCTCTATTACTGCAGAAAATGTGAGTATGATTGTTTCTTGATTTGTAGAAAAATATGAGGGAAAGAATGTTTTAAACAAACTACTGCTAGAGTGAAAAACAGATGAACAGAAACTATAAAAGAGACATGAAAATTTTTATATGGCAGTATCTGTTAGAAGAAGGAGAAATGATACAAAGTAAACTTCAACATATTTGAAAGGTGGTATTCAGGTACATGATCTGTTTTGAAATTTCACCTTTGGATGTATATTTGTATTTATTAATTGATCAGTAACTACAAAGTGTATAGTATGTTGAGAACATTTTTAAAATACAGTGGGTACTAACAAATATGAGTGAGATGATCCTAACTTTCTTCAAGGAACTTATGATATCCTTGAGTGACAAGAATAGGACTGGTTCAGAAGTGACATATGATTAAAAATGATAAAACGAAAAAGAATGAGAATTTACAAAAGGAGAAGTCTCACTGGAGTGATTGGGGAAGGCTTCATGTGAAAAGCAGCCTTCAAGGAAATGATGCAGAGATGTAAGCATCCCAGGCATATGGACAGCTTTAATTAAACACTAATGACAGCTTCAGATCTCAGACTCCTCCTGCTCCCATCCCATTCAACCAGCATGTACTGAGGGGCGACTCTGGGCCAGGCACTGCAGTTGTGCCTTCTGTTGCCCTGTTTTTCCTGCAAGAAGGGGCTAAGCAGTTACTACAGGTTCAGGCTATGCTTCTATTGGTCTAAAATGATAAATTAGAACTTCAAACAAAATTGAAAGTCACTACAACCTAGCTTATCCACTGACCGCTCTATGTGGTGGCATTGTTAGCCTTCACCATTTGTCTCAATAAACACAGGACTTACCTCTATTATTGCAGGGACCTGTTGATACTCTTGGGTATAATGTGCCCTGCTCATTATCAGACAGGAAAAAAAACACTGAGATGTCACAAAAAAAAAGCAAAATACTTGCTCTAAGAAAAGAATACTCAACAGTGGAGTGTTGGTCAGGTTATAAGTACATTTTTATGCAATTTAGAAACATTTCATTAAATTTTGAGGATATAAAAACCTCTCAGTTAAACATCAGGTAAGTATCTGTAGTTTTTGATGTAGATCTTTTTTGAAGATGCTTATTTTAAAAATGAAATTTATATGGCTTCTTTGCTCATGCTAATCACGTACACATCTTCCTTACTCCATGTTCAGTGAGAACATGTTGGTGGCTTGACATTAGTAATGATGTAGATATTATCATCATAGGAATGTTGGAAAATGTTACAGACAAGTGCTTCTGTGCAGCACCACCCCATGTCCCCCACTCCAAAAATTGCTTGTTAAAGATGTTCCAGCACACCAATGCTTGGAGGTGGGCATGCTTGTTAAACATTAATAAAAAAAAATCATCAGTTAAAAAAATATATAGCCTTGATTAAATAAATGGCTTAGACCACTGAAATATGTGGCAAAAGATCTTAAATTAACAATAATGACACAATTTGATATCAAAATTAGTTCTTCTATCTTCCACTTTTTACAATATGTTCTGACCAAATGACATCAAATAGTACATATTTCAAAATAAGGTATAATCTAAAATCTTTATCCAAAAATTCCTGTAGGAAAATAGTATTAATAATTAGACCTAAAAATAAAAATTAGTGAATAACAAATTTTTCTAATGTGTTATTCTTTGTTTACTAGAAAGCATAATCGTAATGTTTACAAGAGAGGGTTAGTAAAAATAAACCGTAATTGAAACAATATAAGTCACATTTGATTTTTTTAACTCAATAAATTTTATTAAAAGAAATTACAAATATTATTGCTTATACCCCTGTGGCATGAGTTCTATCATCAGATTCCACAGCAGGACAGACAAGATTATTTAGTTTACTTTTTCCACTAAGGTCAAACAAGACCTAAGTATTTTATCAACTCAGCATTTTGGAAAACCACTACTAGGTGACCAAAAATTTGTCACTCTGAACATTAAAAAGACTACAGTGAAAAAAAATCTGTGTATTTATCTAGAGAGATTGATAACTGTATCTAAAATAGCAAATACTTATCCACAACTATATGGCATGGGTCTTTTGTTTTGCTATTGTTGATGAAAAGATATTGAAAATATTTTTTAAAACAAGTTTTTTTTCTTTCTATCTTACTACTTTTATTTCACTTCTAAATTGTACTTGTCATTCTCTCTTTTCTTATAATTATTTCATAATTTAAGTGGTGATGGATTATGAACCATGTAAATGTTTGGGCTTTATCAGTAATGATATAAAATTTTCTCTTCCATTGTCTCAGAGTGTGTTCATGCCATTACTTTCTTTGTCTTTTATTTTTATATCTGAGTTTCTTCTCTGCATTTTTTTCCGTTTTTCCTCTTGTAGTTGTAGATGGACAGAATGCCTTTATTTTATTTGTTTATTTTTATGTGGTGCTCAGGATCAAACCCAGTGCCTCACACATTCTAAGCAAGTGCTCTGTCACTGAGCTACAACCCCAACCCCTGCAATTCTTTTAATCAAAATATGTGTATATTCTTCAGGCCATCCAAAACAAAAACAAAATAAAATAAAGCAAAACAAAAGACTCATGCCATATAGTTGTGGATAAGTATTTGCTATTTTAAAAGAAGCAATTCATGATGCCTTTTCTAAATAAAAAAGACAAAAGGATATCCCAATGATTAAGTCACCAATTCACTCAAATAAAAATTAAAATACAGTGGACATTTCTGAAATCTTCTTAAAAAATAAGTGAAGTCTTCCTTTTACACAGTATCCTCTGGGTTCTGCAATTGTGCTGATTTTATGGGTATAACCTTGTGTTCTAAGCTTCTAAGTAAATCAACTAGTGCAATAAAAATCACATCATCCCAGAAAAGAGTAAAGTGAAATGCACAGCTAATATCCTGCCTTAAGCAAAATGAGGTAAGCTTGGAGCATGTGCAGAGAGACAACTAATCTATACCCATGTGGGATGTGGTAAATGATAGGCTTTATCTACAAAAAAATAAAAAAAAAAACATTTCAGAAAGAAATTAACCATCAGGTGTGGGTGAGCAATTAACTCCAGACTGTGGAAGCCAGCTCTTTCCTGTAGAATATTCATTAACTCCTTTAATTAAAAAGTATTCATAGTTGCATAATTTAGAAGTGCCTTTCATATACTTCAAAAGATTCTTGACAGTCTGTGAGTCACTCATAATTTTTTAAAAGTTAAGTATTTTCTGTTGATATCAATTAACTATTGAGAAACAGATTTCTTAAAAATCTCTAATTTTCTCAAGAAATAAGGGGACAAGAAACATTTAAGACAAACAACAACACTACCTTTGGAAACATGCACATGTTATTGAGAATTTCATTCATTCATTTATTCATGTGTTCATTCAAGTAGTATAGATGCTCTGGAGTTCTTACTCTAAGTACCATCTTAGGAAATATGAGTTCAACAGTGAACAAGAGAGATGATGGTCTCTACCTTCAGTGGACTCACAAACAGGGAAACTAGTCAGTTGAACTGGTAATTCTAAGTGTTGTGAAGGCTGAAAAAAAGAAAGTGCTAAAGAAGCACAGGAGATCTGATGTGATTGACAGAACAACCCACCCCACCCCCTCCATCTTCACAACTAATCTTCAGGATCTGTGAATAGGTTACCTTGTATGGCAAAAGTAGCTTTGCAGGTTTGATTAAATTAAGGATGTTAGGATTTGAGATTATCCTGTATTGCCCAGGTGCATCTAATGCAATCATAGGAGGCAAGAGGTATAGTCAGAGCATATGCTGTGACAAAAGAAGAGGTCAGAGAGATTTGAAGATTCCACACTGCTGGCTTGAAAATGCAGGGTGGGGCAGATGCCCCCCAAGAAGTTGAAAAGAACAATAAAATAGAGTGTACTCTAGGGCCTCTAAAAGGAATATACCCATGCCAAAGTCTTGATTTTATGTCCTTAATATTCATTTCAGATTTCTGTGGCCCCAAACTGTAAAATAATAAATTGTGTTATTTTAAGCCACTAAACTCAACTATTTGCTACAATAGCAGAAGGAAATGTATACACCAGAGCTGTTGATTTGGGTGGTGTTATGGACTGGGTTATAAGATTTCTCCCCAAAACTCACGTGTGAGAAGACTCAAGATTGTTTATAGGTGAAATGATTTTGATCAGCCTATTAATCCATTTGAGTGGATTAATGGGTGGTAATTATAGGCAGGTAGGACATGACTGGAGGAAGTAGGTCACTGGGGTGTGCTCTTGGGGATTATATTATCCCTGGCTCCTTGCACTCAAGCTCTTTCTGCTTCCTAGCTGACACAAACCCAGCAACTTTCCTCTTCCATGGCCTCCTGCCATGATGTTCTGTCTCACCTTGGTCCCAAAGCTGTGGAATTGGCCAGCCATAGATGGAATCTCTGAAACCATGAGCCAAAATAAGTTTTGGGTTTTTTCTTGTCAGGCTTTTGGTCACAGTGCTAAAAAGCTAACTAACATAGGGAATAGAAGAGGGTGGGAGGAGAGGAGAACCTTGTTTAGATTTCAGGGTCCACACGGAAAAAAAACATGTCTTCTTTTTTCATCCTTGAAAAGGCAGGATCCATTACTGCATCCAAGATTTATTGCATGTTCAATAAATGTGAGAAATATTTGCTGAGTGAACAATGGCAGGAATGAAGGAATGGGATGTTTGAGCTGACACCTGGAGGAGGACTGGAGTTTAGTAGATAAACAGGACCTGCAGGCTAAACTGGCAAATCCTAATACTAATGGAGACCTCAACAGGGTGCCTCTTAGATCAACATAAGATGACTAAAATGTTGTGGGGACCCAAACCACTAAACATAGTCATAGAAAATTTCTCCATAGATGAGCAATTGTTATTTTCAAAGAATTACCACATTTTCTATCTTATGATATATGTGGCTTGTTTCATATCTTTTGATTATTCTATCATCTGTTCAACTATGAATCTTCTCCTGAGAAGATTGATTCTCTTCTACTTTGCTCATTGCTGTATTCAGTTCATGCCTCCCTCAGCTTTGGTCACTTCTGGATCTTTTCTGTATTCTCCAAAACCCACTGAATGTCTCCGACATGACCTCCCATGAGCTTCAATTTACCATGCTCCAAATCAAACTCAGCTTCTCTGTAGCCACCCTCCTGGGATCCTTATTACTCCCAGCTAGACTGCTTTAGAATCATCATTTGTTTCATAGCAGAAAAAAATAATATGAAATTTATACTAATTCTTTCTGAACTTGATTAAGGACAGAATCAGAGTCACAAAAGTGAAAATGTAGACATAATGAAACCAAGAGTTACAGGTTTTAGTGACTAAATGCGTATTTCCCTTTGTCCCAGATGTTGACAGCCTATAAAAATTTACACTGGTCAATAAATACAGCACTTGTGGCAACTTTGAGATAATTATTATGTTTTTAGAGGTCTATTCTTTTGAGAAAAGCAATAGGTAAATGATTAGAGTACTTAAATGTGTATATGTATGTATACATACATACAGATGAAAATACATGAAGCATATATAAGCTCTAGATTATGGTTTTCAACTTATTTTAATAGGTCACATCAATTCTGTTGAAATATTTACAGAATTGAAAACTTGGGACTTACTAGTTTAAATTGAGTGGGGGCAATCAAGAACAAGAGCAATAAACCTAGCCTTGGCATTTAACGTAGAACAGTGAGGGCAGGATGTGTGACTGAACAAGAGAGAAGAGGACTGAGGATGCTTTTGGAGTGTCTAAAGACAGGAGAGGATGAAGATGGCAGAGGAATATTCTCATCAACTACTTCTGACCACTGTAAAGGGCCACTGGGTGCCAGCGATTCAACAGGATACAGCAAAGTGGTTTTCTCATCAGCTACTGTTCTGTGCAAAGTGGAATAGGTGCTGGGAGGCAGAGGTGAGAACTCCCTGAAAAGTTTTCACTTTAACAGCACAGTAAACCACTGAAAAAGCCATCATTAAGTAAGCACTACATCACTATTTTAGAAGAGTTCTTTGAGAACACAGGCAGGAAACTGCAAATTTGCCATGAGAATTTAGGAAAGACCAGAGAAGTTAATACTTAAACTGCATCTATGATATTTCTTTTCTGTTCTATTTTATATGTATATATATATATATATATCACACTTTAATACAATAATTACTTAATACATATTTAATCAATTATATAAGCATTCTGTATTTTTCTATCCATTGTACTATTGATAAATATTTTGCTTGTTTCCAGTTTTTTATAGGATATTAAAGAGTGCTATTATGAAAAATCTTGCACTACATTTCCCCATTAGTAGAATTCACTGGTAAAGACCCTGAGGTAAGGAATTTTCTTTGTGAAAATATTTTGAAGTAATGATTTAATTTCTTTAATAGTTACAGAAAAATTTATAGGAATTTCTTTAACTTTCTGAATCAGTTTTTGTAAAATTATAGGTTACTAAGAATTTGACCATATTTTCTTTTGGATCAGGAGACCAATAACACTCTCATCTTTCACACATCCATAGTGAATGTACATGAATGGTGTGAAGAAACAAATGGTGTGAACATACTCTGTATACAAGCAGAAATATGAAAAATTGTACTTTACATATGTAATATGAAATTTAATGCATTCTGCTGTCATATATAACAAATTAGAATAAAAGATTTATTAAAAAAACAAAGTAGATAAAAAGATAAAATAAAAACACTTAGATTCCTTTTTACCTAAAGCTCACTCACCATTGCAGTTGCCATTGGATAGAGAATTCAGCAGCGTGTTTTGTTCACACTGAAATGAAAACAAATACAAAGAAGAATAATGTTATTTAAAAATGACACTGTCCATGGGGGGGGGGAATAACACATAATTTCTTATCTACAGTGAAAGAAAGTCTCCAGAAAATATTCTTCACAGGATTTGTTTTCAGAATTCTGCATACAATAAACTTTGAAATTATAAGATGAAAAAGACTTCTAAGGGTATATTAGTTCACGGATTATTGATGTTATCAAGTCAGACTGTCTTCTTTAAAATGTTTGCTGTAAAACTTAGTTTGTTTCCATTTGGGGTTGGAAATTAAACATTTGTTTGAGTTTGTCGTGTAGCATACACAACAGAAATTAACCTCATTAACAGGGCATTCTCAGAGAGAGAGTGCCACATGTCAGACATTTTGTGTTACACAAAAGTTAAATCCATGAAAATGCCTGAGAAACATTCCTAATTTATGGAGATGCCGGAGAAGGAGAAGGAGAATGGCTCTCTAGCCTTCAGTGAAGCTTCTCTGACAATATCTGATGCCCCTAATGAGACCACATGCTATCTACTCCTTGAACACTGTATTATTGTTATTCTCATTAATGAGGATGATAGCAACAGGTAATTTTTCAGTACTTACTGCACACTGAGGACCTGATGTTGATCATTTCATCCTCAATCTCATTTTCCACATGAGGGAGTCAAAGATAAGGGAAGTTATGACACTTGATTAAATTCACAGAGGTGTTAAGAGCTGGGCTAGACTCAAAGCCTATGTCTTTCCAGTTCCAAATGAGGCTTCCAAGCACTGCTTTATGCTGCTGCTGTTGTGAAATTATTTTTCACTTTTAAGGTAGATTAGAGAAATTTTATTTTCCCTTCTGGATACCCAATGATACAGCTTATATATTTTGAGTATTACTTTGATAGTTATCAGCAGTACAGTTTCTTCTTTTTAATTGATTTTATTTTTTAAATACATGACAGCGGAATGCATTACAATTCTTATTACACATATAGAGCATAATTTTTCATATCTTTGTATATAAAGTATGCTCATGCCAATTCATGTCTTTATACATGTACTTTTTTGCATTACAATTCTTATTACACATGTATACTACAATTTTTCATATCTCTGTTTGTATATAAAGTATGTTGACACCCAATTCTTGTCTTCATACATGTATGCTGGATAATGATGTCCATCACATTCCACCATCCTTGCTAATCTCCTGCCCTCTCCCTTTCCCTCCCACCCCACTGCACTATCTAGAATTCATCTATTCCTCCCATGTTCCCCCTCCCTACCCCACTATGAGTCAGCCTCCTTATATCAGAGAAAACATTTGGCATTTGTTTGCGGGGATTGGCTACTTCACTTAGCATTATCTTCTCCAATGCCAACCATTTACCTGCAAATGCCATGATTTTATTCTCTTTCATTGCTGAGTAAAATATCAGCAGTACAGTTTCTACCAGCTTATTTCACATTTCTCAGTCTGTTATGGTTTAGATATGAGGTGTCCTCACAAAAGCTTATGTGTTAATGCAAGAATAGTCACAGGTGAAAGAATTGGATTATAAGAGTTGTTACCTAATCGATCCATCTGAGATTGAATGGACTGACTGGGTGGTAATTGTATGTAGGTGGAGTGTGGCTGGAAGAGGTAGGTCACTGGGGACATGCCTAGGAAGCATTCATCTTTATTACAGACCCTTCCTACATCCCCTGCTTCCTTGCTGTCTGAGGGAGGAGCTTCCCTCCACCATGCCCTTCCTCCATGATATGCTGCCTCACCTTGGGCCCAAAGAAATGGAGTCAGCCATCTATGAACTGAACCTCTGAAAGCATGAGCCCCCAATTAACTTTCCCTTTTTTAAGTTTTTCTTGTCAGGTGTTTTGGTCACAGCAACACAGAGCTGACTGAAACATAGTCTCAACCTTCCTTTTATGTAGCATTTGAATAATGTCATCTACATGGTGTGGCTGGTGATGATAGTTAACCCAATTAAAGGAATTGGCCCCAAGACACATTCAACAAGTGTGAACTTCCTTTCCCTCCTCTTAAAACTGCCTACTTGAAATTCTGTGCATAATTTCAAATAATTTACATAGATACTCCACCTTTAAGGAGGTAGATTCCAAATCACAATCCTTATCTGTGATCTACACACAGTGACTTCCTTCCATAGATACAGCACAGAAAGGGTGACAATACAGTGACTTTACATAGGAGAATTCAGGCAAACATTACCTCATTTGGTGTTCAAGGTCAACATCAGTAACAAATAATGTTGATATTATGTACTTTTGATTGGTTGCAGTAAAATAATCACACTTTGCTGCTATAGATTTCCTCCCCCAAACTCATAATCCCAGTCTTACTATGAAAAAAACACTGGACAAATTCTAATAGAAGAGCATTATATAAACTATTTAGCCAATACTACTCAAAACTTTCAAGGTCTTTAAAAAAACAATAGACAAGATGAGCCTAAGGAAGCATGACAACTAAATATAATGTGGTATCTTGGAATGGAATTCTGTAATTTAAAAAAGGGAATTTAGGTAAACTAAGATGATGTAAGTAAAACATGGACTTTTGTTTATTATGTCAATTATATCAGCCAATTGTATCAATATTTGTTTTTCAATAATGACAAATATGCCACAGTAATGCAAGATGTTAATAATAAGGGAAATTTGGTGTGGTGTGGAGTACCTGGATGACTGAGAGACAACACATAATCAAGGACATAAGAGAAAGAAGATATCATTGTGGTCTGGAGTAGTCAAGAGAAGCTTCATGAGGACTGGGGTTGTGGCTCAGAGGTAGAGCACTCACCTAGCATGTGCAAGGGTTAGGGTTCAATCCTCAGAACCACATAAAAATAAATAAATAAGTAAATAAAGGTATTGTGTCCAACTACAACTAAAAACTACATTTTTTTAAAAAGAGAAGCTTCATGAAAAGTGCAATCAACTGATCTAATAATAGTAGCTAAGAGTGTAAGGTTTTTGAGTAGGCCAAGCACTATTCTAAGCGCTTTGCATATTTAATCATCTTGATATAGATGAGGAAATTGAAGTACAAAGGTTCAGTAACTTGGTTAAAGTTCAACAGCTAGTTAGTAGTAAACCCAGGGAGTTTGGCTCCAAAGTCCAGGCTCTTCATGTTGCAGGGAACTGCAGGACTCAAATAATGACAAATAGCTCATTTGCATTAACTCTTACTAATGCACATTTGATTCAATAACTCTGATAATGGACATTACTTATGGAAATAAAGAAAACTGAATTTTATAATAATGTTATCATAATAATGGTAGTAATTTGTGCTTCTCTGAAACCATTTATTGTATTCTTTCTTTAAGAGTTAGATCTAACAAATTGTATTTTTGTTAGGAACTCAGTAAAAAAAAAAAAAAAAAAAAAGTCCTTTGAGGTTTGAGGATATAGCTCAGTTGGTAGAGTGCTTGCCTCCCATACACAGGGCCTTGGGTTCAATCTCCAGCAACACAAAAACAAATAAACAAACAAAAAACTTCCTTTGAACTAAGTGACTTGTCTTATTTATTCTTCTTGAGGTTATAGTATCTGGTACACATATTTATTAGACATGCACTCAGTAAATGAATGAAAAGATAAGTGAGGGATTACCTGAAGGCTAACTATGAGAACCGTCTGAAAAGTATCATATGATATTAGGTTTTGCTGAGGGGAGAGGGTTGCAAACACTTTTATAATGTATTATTTTTATATGATATATATTTTAGTGCCATGAGGTACAGTTACCTGTAGTATGACATTTGAATCATAAAGTCACTGTTCCTGCCTACCTTACTGATATCATCAAGTGGCTGATTGTTGGCATTTTCCTTTTGCATTATGTTTATTAGATCCATATGAAATTTCTTCACATTCAGAAAAACAAGTGGATTGTTTATTGAGATAATTTTCACCTGCTGCAGGCTTTCCTTTTAAGGAAGAAAAAAGAAGTAGGTTTAGAACTCTGAATTAAATAAAATGGAATAACTATACCCAATGAATCTAAATCTTTTAACTCCAAATGTCACTCAGTTGTAGAAGCAATTCCTTAACTATCACTTTAATTATTAAAATTTGTTTAGAAGATTTAATGCACTATCACACTTCTTATGGAGAATATGTACTTCCTCTCTATTATGAAACATTAATAACATGAGACAAGTCTGCAGCTTTTTAGAAAGTGGTCCTTATTCCTACTGACTGGGCTTTGGGGACCCAAAAAAACTAGAATATACAAAGAATGCCATGAAGACCTATCTTCCCAAATTACCTCTTCCATTCAACCTGTCATTAAAATTAATGTACTTAACCATCCATATTTTTCAAAAATGAAAATATCTTCTAAATGGTCAACTGTCAGTCCTTTATCTCAATAATGTCATGAATTTTCTTTAGCTGAAATATGACTTTATAAGTGATAGTCCTAATTGGAAGGAAGAGACAGAGAGTTTGTGTCCAGAATATAGATTTGCTTTGGGCAGCATTTCAAGGCATTGAAAGATGCAGAACTGAAGAAGGAAACATTTTGACACGAAAGGTGTCTGTTTGGGCCAACCACCCAGGTTTAACTGGCCATATTCAGTGATGAGCAATGGAAACTGTCCTCTCTGTGACTCTGGGAAAGAAAAATGCACAGAATTTGGTCAATTCTATGATATGATAACTCCTTACCAACTAACTTCAGGCTTTAGTATTCACATGGAAGAGAAGATGCAGAAATTGGTCATGCATGCAGGCGGAAGAGAGATGAAAGAGAAAAGATTAGGTACATTCATTTGGACAGTTCATTTAACCTCTTTACATTTCCTCATTTTTAAAATTAGCTCCATGTTTAAACTAGATAACCTCAAAAGTTTCTAAAAACTATTGATTTAACTCTAGCTAATGAGGAGATTGTCAATAAGTAAGTCAAGAAAACTTAAACTGCCAAAGTTTTAATCAAGAGTCAACTTCTTAGAATCCAAAAATAAAACATGAATTTCCTAGATTTGTCATAGATAGTCACCACAGTTCACGTGAGATTGTGTCAGTCTATTATTTTAAGATAAGATGAAAAAATATGTGTTTGCTAAAGAATGCAGATATTCATTGTCCCAGGAAAGAAACTGTGAATGAAGTTGAATTCTCTGAGTCTGAAGAAATCTCCCAAATTAGGAATCGGTGCTTTGAGTGAATAAAGTGTAGAAAGTACATGAATGTAATAGGAATAACAGATCATTATATTTTATGTTAGCTATTCCATCCACCAACTCACATTCAAATTTTGCTCAGACTTTGTTTCTTCCCCTCTTAGTTTGGACATAAAATGTTAAGAAACCAGTGCGGTATAATATTTAAGTAAAATCAAAATTTCCATGTGGTGTTATTTAGTGGGTTGATGAAACTCAAATAAATCAAGGTTTAAGGACAGAAGAAATTTCCTGCATTTTCATCTTCTTGAAAATAACCTCATATACTTCTGCATGTAGTTAGCCCTTAAAGAAGGTAAAGATTAGCCAGTTTATTAGCCAGTGACTTTTAAATTGAAAAAAATAGTTACTCCAAAGTTGAATTCTGTCTTAAAGCTAAAGATATCAATGCAATTATACATGTAGGGTTGATACACTGAGGACTTCAGGGGCCAGAGAATCAGACTAGAATTTTGTACAAACACTGAATTGTCATAACGAATTCAAGGAAAGAAAAAAAAAAGAGACAGTGGAAAAGTTAAGTCTGGAAACCCTCAAAGGCTCTGAACTCAGCTCTCTGTGAGGCGAGTCTTTCCATGCTTATTAAAAGCACAAGCCATTTCTCTGAGTGTTGCAGGAGTACTCTTGATGTTACTACTTGGAAATTCTCTAACATAGGTCCTTCTGGTGGGAGATCTATTCTGTCTATTTTGAAGGAAATCATGAGGTACTGAATGAAACAAGTGAATATAAGAAATAAAAGATAACACAGATTCAAAATGAGGGCAATTTCTTTAAATTGGCAAAAATAATTCAAGTCAACATTTTCCCCCTTACTTTAAATTGTTTTGACATCTCTTAAAGGAAAATACTAGAACTCAAACACTATCAATTGATCCTCCTAAGCATAGGCAGGGCAAGACAATTTATGTAGTTTATTTCTTTAAGGTGTCTACTGTGAAAAAATCTAATCCTCTAGGCTTTCCAGAACCACTGAACTTAATTACCCTCTATTAACTATGCAATCTCATTGACTGGATTTTTTAAAAATCAATACCATGAACAAATTTTGATTTATTCCTTTCCCTATTCTCTTTCTTCCTCTACCATTTAATGCAGAAGACTAACAGTTTTGTTTGATTACTTTATGGAAAAGAGGTTTCCAAATGTCTGAACTAATCTGGGCCATGATTTGACTATGCCTTGTAGGTATATGAACCATGGTATGATTTTGTCTGAATGCTAACCGAAAGAGATTCTCTTTTGTTCTATTGATTCATTGCATATCCACTGCCACATGAGTGGTGGTCAACATATGTACCATTGGAAGTTCACAATAAATAGAAGTAGAATTATCACATTTCAATTTTCAAAATGCATCACCTTATATGATATATCAAAACTATTGAATCCACAAACGTGATAATTTCACAGAGGAAAAAGGAAACTAAACTTACATCATCTGTTTCTGTCTTCACTTTAAATTCCATTTCTTTCATGTTTTTTATACTTAAAGTCTTTGCTCTAAAGTTAAGGCAGATAGAAAATACAACAAGTCATTTCCTGATCACTACATTAACAATGAAGAAATGAAAGGGATGTCATTTATCTTTACAATTAGAAAAGCGTCTGAAATGGTTTAGATCCTATAACCCATTTTTTTCACAAGACATTGGTAAATCTATGTATCTCTGGGATATTTGAAAATAGAGAGTAACAACATAGACATCTAACTAGAGATTAATAAATGAAATTTACCTCATTTGGGTTCCCAGAGCCCCATATCTCCAAGCTGTAAGAGGTGGATTGGTAAAGAATTATAAAAGAGAAAAGATGAGAAAGCATGCAGTATTTGATAAAATCTTGTTTGTGGAGGAAATAAAGGAAAGGGGGAATCAGTGGCAAGACAAGTCAGATAATAATGAACTGTAGATACAGATTCTATAAAGATGGAGTCTATCGAGAGTCTCTAAACACATTTTTAGAATATAATACACATTTCAAAAGAAGGATGAGAAGTGAAGAGGAGCCATTTTCAGATGGCTACTGGGAAATCAGAAAAGGTAATGGATCAAAATAGGGGAAATAATTTATAGATGTTCAGTAGATATTTAAAAAGGAAGTGTGTTCCTCAATAAATTATCCAGAAATTTACAGTTACTTTATTTTCCAAGTGATTACTGCTGTTACATAGTTTGTGTGTCATTGGATACTATATCCCTTCACATAATTTTAAAAAATCTCTGAGTACATGGCTAAGGGATTTATTTATTTTAATATATTTTATATATTAGCTACAGTTTGGATCTGAAATGTGCTCCGAAGGCTTGGTCAATATCCTGTGTCACTATGGGAGGTGGTAGAAACTTTTAAGAGTGGGGTGAAATTAGATCATTGGTAGCATGTCCTCAAAATGGATACTGGGCCAGGTGTGGGAGTGCGTACCTGGAATCCTAGCAGCTTGGGGGGCTGAGGCAGGAGGATCATAAGTGCAAAGCCAGCATCAGCAACTTAGCAAGGTTCTGAACCACTCAGCAAGGGCCTTTCTCTCCCTTTCTCTCTCTCTCTCTCTCTCTCTCTCTCTCTCTCTCTCTATATATATATATATATATATATATATATATATATATATATAATAAATTGTATGAGTTCATTATTATATGAGTTATATATATGAGTTGGGGATGTGTCTCACTGGTTAAGCACCACTGAGTTCAATATCTAGTACCAAAAAAGCAGAGAGGCATTGGACTTCATTCATTTCCTCCCCCTCTCTCTCTCTCTCTCTCTCTCTCTCTCTCTCTCTCTCTTTCCTTTCTGATCATCATGAAATGTGCAGTTTTGCTCCACCACAGTCTCTCCACCATGATATCCTGCCTTACCACAGGTCCAAAGCCATCAACCATGGACTGAATCCTTTGAAACCATGAGCCAAAATAAACCTTTTTCTCCTTTTAAGTTCATTTGATCCCAGGTATTTGTTACAGCAATAGAAAGCTGACTACATTCTAACTTAAAATTTTGATATTTTCTTCACTAACATTATATATTATACATATAACATTTATCAACATAAAACATGTTCTTATCTCTTTATCTCTAATTCACTTATAACAGGTAAAACATGAGACTGTAGTAGTAAATGATATACAGAAATAAACAAATGGGAATAATAACATAGATCAGTAAATAGTTCTATTAGAATCTGTCTCAACAGCTTTCTGTAACAACACCACATACTTCGTTGCTGATTAAGAAAAAATAGTATTTAAATAAGATCTTACCTTGGGAAGCGTCCTATCACTATAGCTATGGTACAGACGACACCAAACAGTAGTCCCACATTGGCAGCAAAACATATTGTAAAGATATATGTACTGACCCATATGCCCTAAAAGAGCAAGAGAAAACAGAAGGTGTAGGTTCTTTGGTGTTCTCATCTTTCTTGTGATTTCTAAATCCCTCACCAATCTTAATCTACAATATTCCTATGACCAAATCTCTCAGAAAGTAGATAATCATTTATGAAGTGGTAAACAGAAGCCCAGGTACACAGAAGCAAATCCCGGCTCCACCAGACTCTCAGTAGCAGTAGAAGTGGGGAAAGTTTCCTTCTTTTATTTCCAGGCACTGCCAAACCTTAGTTCAATCTCCAGCAATCACTGTTTTGAAGATCTGTAAACAGTTGATCAATGTGTGCGTTGTTAGATACATGCCATGATTTCCTATTGCTTCCTCATGTAATGTAACAATATCACAAGTAATTGTTTGCAGATTTTTGTTTTTCTCAAAAATATTCTGTTTTCAAGGATTACTATAAAATTACCAATATAGTTTATTGCCATATAAGACTTTCAAAGCCTAGTGTTTAAGTGATTGAATCAAGCAACACTGCCAATTCTACTTTAACATATTAAGATCATTACAATTTTTATCTATAAGGGCCACTTGTTGTAAAAGCTAAACAAACAAACAAACAAACAAAAACGGGACAACATAGTTCTTGGGAATATTTCAAAAAGTTGCAATAAACTAATTCTCTTTTAGATTGTATTTCAAAGTTACTCTACCTATGTCCATGCCTGAACTTATAATTGCAACAAGATATTGTAGTATAGTTGGCTTTTCTAAGCTTTGTGCTGAAAATAAAATCTTTAAGGGAAGAATAATTTGTGAAATCCAGAAGATTATAGTTCTAAATACAAAATCCTGCATCCATCAATTAGTAAAATGACAAAATTTTCACTTTCTTTTCTCCCAAACAATTACACCACTCTGATTATATATACAATTTTCAGTTGATTTCCTCTGTCCCAATGTTTACTTCAAAATGTAATTTAATTCTATTCATACATAAACAAAAAAAAGTAAAAACTACTTTGTAATCTGAAAACAGCATAAGATCTTGGGAGAGGGAAGTTATAGTTCTTTTTTTCAGACACATTTGAAACAAACATTTCTAAAGGTAATTTTTATTGAAAATGTTTTTTCTTTGTCTATATTACTTATCTACACTGAGCTTGTATGATTCTCAAAAACAGACTGTTTTAAAAAGCTAAGCCTTTAGAAGCAAATGGAAAGATTTTTTATCTGTAAAATTCCTTTTGATATTAAAGACACAAGCATTCTGGAGTAAGAGAATATATATTTTAAGATAATTCACACATAAGCTCCATCTCCTATAAATGGCAATGCTGAGTTAGGACTTAGCTCATTCATAACCTGTCATCTCTTAGGTTAGGACACTGAGATGATTTTCCTTTATTGAGATGAATTGGCAGTCATATGAGTCTTCTATTTGTGTAGTGTTTTTTTTTTTCCTTTTCTAATGTATTACATTGTACTCAATCATATACAAAATAAAGACTGTAAGCTTTTGATCATTCTTGCAACTTTCTGTGAGGACTCTGAGTCTTACTCATCCTTGAACACTAAATGAACCTGCTTGAGTGTGGCAGAACAAGACCTCATCAAGAGTTTAAGAATCCAGTTCCTCCTGGCCAGCCTCCATGATTCAAAACGTCATGGGCAACTAAGGATGCTGGACCCTGCCACTTAAAAAACCACAAATCCTGGAGGCCAGGACTCATCAGAGCAACCAAAAATTTTGGTGCCATCTGGTTCTGTTTTTAAAGCATATTTACCCTCCCACAACACCATCTATTCTAAGTCAAGCTCTTCAAATGCTTCTTTTTTTCTCTGTGGCCACATTTACAACTTTAAAAATATAACAAATGAAAATCAATAACATAGATCAGTAAATAGTTCTATTAGAATTTGTCTCAATAGTTTTCTGTAACAATTCCTGTTAAAGACCCAAATGTTGGTTATTACAGTTATTATATATTGATTAGCTCTTGGGTCCCTTTTATATTTTTCATCATTTGAAAAAAAAATTGAAATCCACAGCCCTTAGACACAAACTTACCCCCAGGTTAAGCTTAAATAGAGAACACATAAAGTCTTGCTTCTAATAGAATATCTATCAGTGTAAAGCACAATTTAACAATGAATGGGTCATCTCACCTTTCCCTTACCTATCTATTTTACTGTCTGTTTTGGTGACAAATTCATACCATTAAATTTTGATAGATCTGTTTAGCTATTCAAACTCTGTTCTGAGTCCCTGAGTAAAACTTCCATTTAGATTCTTTATTACTTCAAAGAGGGTTCTGACCTACAACTCAAAACAGAAACTATATTGAACTGTAAAAAAAATTAAAAAATTAAAAATGTTTCTGATTTTTCATGTGATAACTACTTACATGACTTTTTAGCCTTTAAACCTTCAAATTATTTTACATACACATACACTCACACACATAGACAATTTGTGGTAATTTTTCTTCCACTACACTGTAGGCATATTCTATGTATTGAATAATCTAGATATGTTATGTTTACTGAGTAATATAGCCTATATCCACAAAAGTCTAGGCAATATTTTGTTGCTCCAAATATTATATCAACATTATATCCCAATAATCCATGGCTTTTTGCTGTTGAATTCCTTAGAAGATAAGAAATATTCATCTATTATCAAGCTAATCTAATGTCCCATTGAATCATCATGCACCTGGTACACCCATGTCAAGTTTCTCAATCTTACTCCTTGCCTATACCATATGTTCTCTCTTTAACTTTTCAATAATCATGTCCAAGCAATATATACTAATTTTAAGCTCTTAAACCATTTTCCAAGTTATTATAAAACATCTTCAAAGTCAACAACTCATTAATGCAAATGCATTAATTTCATACCCAAATCTACCCTTCCTCCAATGTTCTCCTTCAGTTAGAACAGTAATATCCTTCAACACACTATAATTAGAAACAGTTTACTCTCTCTTCTTTCATCACTTGTCAAATCATTTCCCAAGCCCTATCAATTATTAATCAAAAACATCTAAAACCACACCCTTTTTCAATTTATTAATGGTGCCTAGTTTACACCTTACTATCCCTTCCCTAGACTGTTCTGACAACTTCAATTATCTGACAACAATTTTTGTTATCTGCATTATAAATTATTTATCATACAGCTGCCAGAATTACCTAAGTATACATTTGGATATCATATGTAGATAGTATATTAAAGATTTCTGTACTCTATTCCTTTATATTAAAATAAATCAAATACAACCTATAAAGGGAAAAAATCAACTTCAATGTAAAAAAGAACATGTTCACAATCGTTAACTACAAAATAAGATACAATTCTGTCAAATACTGTGAAATCTGGATAATAATCAATGAGGATACGAGAAGGCAACACATTTTTTTTTCTCAGAGTTCAATCAATTTTACATGTTTGTCTAACCACTGGAATCCTGGGAATCCTGTGTGATAATCTTGATAAAAAACTTCAAGAGGCAAGAGCTTCTCAGTTCTACAGGGAAGGTTGAGCCACCGGAGAAGCAGGAAATATACCCATGGAGTTTTACATGATACAGTATGCCTGCATTGGCAGTGTCACAACCTAGCCATTTGTATCACAACCTAGCTTCCTGACCAAAGAAGACTTAGAGATGAAGCAACCTGAAGTATGAAAAGGAGACAAGTGTCAGGTTGCAAGAGAACCTGTGATTTCTGAGATTTTGCTTTAACTGGGGACGTGTATTAAAATGACATGCCTAAAACCATTCCTATCTCCTGCAATTCCCATGTAATTTTTTAGTAAATATTTAAGTTCACTTAAAAAATGCATATTCCTAATCATCAAGGTAACTACTTATAGAAAAGAGAAAATGAAAACATGAAGCAAAGACAAAGGATAGGTCTGAATATGTAATCAGAATCTCAGGAAAAAACTTTTGAAAAGATATGAAATATGAAAGAAATACTTTATTTAACAAAGAGAAAAACTTTGTTAAAGGAGATAAAAAAAACATGCTGGAAGAATTTAGGAAAGAAGTTGAGTAGAAATAAAATATTGACGATATAAAAAATATTTAAAAGTAGAAAACAGAATAATTACAACTAGAAATTCATAATCAGAATTATAATAAATACAATAAATATAGAAACCACACCAGGGGGTGGGGAAGGTGGGAAGGAGTCATAGGAAAATACAGAGACATAAAAAAAGAAAAAGCAAAATCAACAAATATAATATTTGTTAAGAGGACAGAACAAATAAATTTGAAAAAAAAATCTCCAAAGATACATTAGAAGAAAAATTTTATAAATAATTATTGATTCTGAGATCAAAATATACATAATGCTCATAGAAATTTGAGATTTCTTTTTTGTTTCTGAGATCAAAAGGATATGTGGTGCTCATAGAAATTTGATACTGGAGCATTAACCACAGAAATATTCTGATAACATCACCAAATTTTGTGAGCAGAAAGAATGGCCTTCATTGTGTATTAATTTAGAAAAAAACAAAGTTTCATAAAATAACAAACTATCATGTTTACTTCTATTTCTCTTATGTTATTATTCAATGTCTAAAGATAATGCCAAGTCTAAAAAGTTCTGAAAGAAAGCATTTTAAACTCAGCCAAAAACTACATTTTAGTATTTGTGAAAAAGGTCAATATTTTTAAAATGTAATAACTTTGAATATAAAACACATGAACCCTTTTAGGAAAACTATTTAGTGATGACATACAGAAAACAAAGAGGTGAAATGAATAACTCAGAAGTGAGAACCTATATTATTTAAAGATAAAAGGTAACCAATTTACATGCTTTTAAACAATAAAATTCTATATTTTCTATAACTCCATGAATGATAGTGTCTTTTTCCATTGATGTTCTTATCTAGAGTCTTAGATGTCATTCTAGACGGATCTACTTTATAGGATGAATTGGTGGTAAAGACTAACTATTTCAGTCTTTTAAGTATTTTTCAAATCTATCTTGTCTTGAACTTCATGATCTCAGCCCTGGTCTAGGCCTTCCTCATTTGCCTGAATTACCAGGGCAGTGCTCTAATTGTGTTATCCTCTTTCAGTATGATTCATTTCCCTAAAGTTACTCAAATGATCTTTTTAATACATAAAGCTTATTAATCTTGTATCTACTTCACCATTCTGTGATACTTCACTGTCTCCAGAATGAAATCTACTCTTTGCAAAAGTGGTCTTTCACAATCCAACCCATTCTTAACTTTTACAGCCTCATTTGTCATTACATGCAATTCACACTGCAAGTCCCACCCATGCTGAACACCTTGGTATGGAGATTCAAACATGCTCACGCTCATTCCTGTATCTTTGCACAGATGGATCTCTTTCTCTCTTCCCCAGATAAAATGGACTCATTCTTCAAATCTCCACCTAGAAATCACTTCTGAAAAGAAGCCTTCTCTGATATCTCCCGTCCCCTGCAATATGGAAACATGTTTCCTTCCATATGATTAATAAGCTCCTTAGAAATACCTTTCTCACAGGGTTATCCAGTAGCTTGTTGAATAAGTTTGCATCTTCTTATTTATTTTTCCCCATGAGTGATTTCATATAAACCACCTTTAAAATTTAAAAAAATGTTGGGCTGTGGTTGTGGCTCAGTGGTAGAGCGCTTACCTAGCGTGTATGAGGCACTGGGTTCCATTCTCAGGACCACTTATAAACAAATAAAGGTCCATCAACACTAATTAAAAAAAAGTCATGATCCTCACTCGGACTTGTTAATTGTCCTCTTGACCTGCAGTCTCCATTCATATTTCAGCTCTGCTGTGAGAGCCCTTCATATTAACCAGTACAAATGAGTGCTTCTGCCTCCACTTTTCCCCTGCACCAAGCTTTTTGAACTATAAGCATCTGGGAAAGATGGTAGCTCATCTCTACATTGCTCATGGCACTCGGCATCATACTTTGGTAGAAACTCAGTAATACTGCGCCTCGTTATTATGAAAGTAGGTATAAGTAGGTATTAGAAAAAACAATCTCCTAAGGCTCACAGAACAAAGAATCTGAAGGAGAGAAAATACATAGATCATGACATTTCAATATGGTCAATACCATATAGAACTAAACAGAAGGGTATTCATGAATTACTTCACCTATATGGAGAGGATTTGGATGCCCACATACAGACAGGTTTCTCTAAAATGTAAGTATGCTAAACATTTCTGTTCATTGAAACCACACTTCATCATTGTTCAGTACACTTTAATCTGTTCTCAGCAATAGCCTATTAACATAACGATCTTGCCAGTGTAATTCATTCACAATATTCATGTATTTAGAATGAATGTGATCACCATAAAGCCATTCATCCTATATCCACATAGCATACATTCATAGCAATTAATGCTAGTTTTACATACACACTATAAATCATCATATCTCTATTGGTGTGTACCTTCCTGATGAGCCTAGTTTCCAGAATCAGTTCATAATGTAAACTGGACATCCCCAATACACTCAAATTAGGTTTTTTTTTTTTTTTTTTTGGTACCAGGGATTGAACTCAGGGGCACTCAACCAATGAGCTACATCCCCAGCCCTATTGTATTTTATTTAGAGGCAAGGTCTCACTGAATTGCTTAACACCTCATCATTGCTGAGGCTGCCCTTGAACTCATGATCCTCCTGTCTCAGCCTCCTGAGCCTCTGGGATTAGAGTCATGTGACAGGACACCATGCTTGGCTAGTTAGTATTTCTTTAAAAGTTCTCAAACTATACACAGAAATTCCATTTCTGTCTCTTATGAAACCAATTTCTATTTTAATGCTTTTATTAAGATTTTGAAAACAGTAACTGGTAGTTCGTAAAGTATACAAGTCTTAAAAGCCTAAATCTGTTTTTGGCAAATATAACAATAGTTTTATTTGGTAATGTGCTTAAACCAAAGAAGAAAATTCAGGGTGAAATTTCTACTCACCCAATCGATCTTATCCACATTCCAATATTTTTTTAAATCCCGGAACTGTATTAGCATTCCTTTCAGCCCCACGACAATAATACTTGCAAGAACACACTGCAAACAAAAATAAGCCAGTAAAAATCAAGATAAAGATTTTAGTCAGAAATTAAAAGGACCACAGTATTTTTTATTTCTTTGTTTTTAAAAGAAAATACTATGGAGAAGCTGTTAGAAGCAATTAGAAGACTAAAGTAATGCTTGTTTTGTTTAGAACTAATTTATTATTGTACTTTAGAAATATAATATCAATTCTAGGAAAATCACAGGACAAAAACTTCTGCAATTCCACATCCCAAGGTAGAAAAGAAGGAAGGAAAATCAGTGAATGATAAGGATGAATAGTATGTCCCTTAATAATTATACACTGTCACTTGTTTGAAATGTGTTTGTTGCAAAACTATGACACATTTATATTATTCATTTCTTTACAATTGTATTGAATCTCAATTATTTGGTTTTGCCAGAGGATGTTTATAACTCTCTTGAAAAGGGAACTCAATTATTGGAAGATCATTCCATGGAAATATTTATCTTCACTGTACAAGTGAAGAATTAGAGCAACAAAGGGTGGAGACTGGCTCTTTTTAGCCCAGCATCTTAACTTGAGTCACTTTGGTGCCTCAGGCTTATAAAGAGCAAAAGGAACTACTGGTTCTAATGTTCTGAGCCACTTAGTATAAAGGATGTATCAAGGGTGGGACCATGTATTCTGGATCCTTCTTCCTTGCCCCAGCACACAATTATTTTTTTAACAAATTTCTTATAAAATTCTTCCAAAGTCTACTTTTTGTACAGCAGAGTATTTCTTGTTCCATACTCCAGATGAGCACAAAAGAACTAGTTCCAGAGTGTCATTTTTATATGGGAGCTAAAGAATTGGAAGATTGTCACAGTGGAGCTGTGGCTCAATGGTAGAGTGCTTGCCTAGCACGTGTGAGGCACTGGGTTTGATCCCCAGCACCACATAAATAAGTAAATAAAGGTATCGTGTTCATCTACAACTAAATGTGTGTGTGTGTGTGTGTGTGTGTGTGTGTGTGTGTGTGTGTTTGTATAAAAACAAATCAGTCATGGTACTCTCCCTTGGTACCATCCTTACCTCATCAAATGTAGTATCTTTGCACCCCTCCCCTCCATTTATCTTTACTTATGTGAGACGATTTTCAGATTTAGGATTATTGATTTGACTCTTCCTAGAAATTGTATTCACAATGATTTTCATTAAAAGTAAATGGTAGAGAGTGAAAAACACTACGGTACCATGGGCAGCCAGTACAGCAAAGGTCCAATTGCATAGATGACTATAAGGACGAAAATGCAAGATATTAGACAGGCCACCTGTAAAACACAAGACAGGAAAGAAAAGAAGAAATTCTTGAACTTTTTTTTTTATTCCAAATTTGTAGATGAGAGTGACAAATTCTTAGTTCATCTTGATTAGAAGACGCAAAATGTAGGTCCATCATTGTTAAATTGCATAGACTGTCATTATGTTTTGCAGTCAGAAGAAGCTAAACATGACAGGTGACAAACTGGTGCAATCAAATTAAGTCAGTGATGAGAGAAAAGCAATTCCACACAAAGAAATAGGACACCATCAATGTTTACGGCACATCACAGCCGTGGCTTGCTGCTGTGGAATAGCAAAAGTGACATTCCAGGAAAAGACCTTTAGCCTGTTGTTGTTTAGCCCGACTCCCCCCTCCTTCTTCATACAGGGTTGTGTAGATAATCACTGGAAACGCAGCTTAGGGTTCTTCTGTGCTGATGACAAATCTGCACTGAAACACTTTCTCTCTGGAGTTCTTTGTTAGTAGGGTCTCTATATGAAATGGTTCTATGAGATTATAGGAGCAGTGAGACAGACTGAATAATCCTGAAATGTATAGTGTTCTAACCCGCTGAGCCTGCTGGCAAAACGCAATTCAGAGCACCTGACCCCTGGAGCTGAGCTCTGCTGGAGGGAGAACCTGACTTCACATGACTTCATATAAACACTCGGCCACACGGTTGTGCTAATAGGAGCAAATCGACTCTCACAGACCACAGAGATGCCCAGAATATCATTATGGAGTCACTGAGGAAATCTTGACTTATCAGAATGGTTTAAATTAAAAATAATTGATTTCAAGGGCAGGAAGGGACATACAGCCATTGGAGATCTCTGGCATTGCTGGTGGGAGTGCAATATGATACAGTTACTTTGAAAACAGTTTGGCAGTTTCTTATGACCTTATTCACAAGCATAACCATAGACTTAAGGACTTAAGGCTGCCTAAGAGAAATGAAAGAATGTACCTATGTGAATGCCCATATATAAATATTTGTTAGAAATTTTGCTCATAAACACCATATAATATGTAAATAACTGCAATGTCCACCTTCGTTGAATAAATTGTGGCATAGCTATATGATAAAGTACTACTCAGCAATAAAAAGAACATGGATGAAATTCAAACCATCAAGCAGGAAAAAGAAGTTAGACATAAAAGATGATAAGATACTTGCATGTATGGTAATGCCACAGTGAAATTTGTTCTAATGATTATAATAATAAAAAAATGTTAATGTTAAGTAAATAATAAAAAGCTAGAAGATCCTTTATCTCGGACATTCTGAAAATAAAAGAAAAATTATAAGATTCCAAGGATGGGTGGAAGCGGAGAATTAACTATAATAGAATAGGAGAAAACTGTTGTGATTAAAATATTATATATCTTGATTGTATTTGTGGTTATACAACATACTTTTCTAAATTAAATGAACTAAAAAGGATGAATTTTATTATGGCTAAATGTACCTATAAACATGATTTGGAGAAGGGATCTGTCATAACTCCTTGCACACATGTGTGCACACCCAGATTTAGTATAGCCTCATTTCCTGCCTGAACCTGGTGCTTTTAAAGGGGGTATATGGCGGGGCATAGGGGGACGGTGGTTGAGGGCAAGTGCCCCTTCAATTATTCAGCTAAACAACCTCTCAAACAGGCCTTAGAACAGGCTTTTCCATGTTGGCAGAGGCTGAGGAAGTTTGTGTTCTCATATTTAATAGAACTACTCACTAACAAATCACAGTGGGTATAAAAGGGGAAAAATAATTCTCACATGGAAATGAGTCATTAGGCTTTAAATGACTGTCCACAAAAGAGATTAAATAGTACACCAAACTAACCATTTAGGAGTAATTGGTGGTTTTATGTGGTAAGAATTTCTTAAACAATAAAATATGCTACCTGTAATTCCTTTGGCCTGGAAAGATCTAGGTGTTGAAGTGCAGACCACAGATCCATTCAGAAAGCAGCTCAGTGACTGAGTAAATCTACGTTCTTATGGAAAGGAAACAACACTAACTGCTAAGGTTTGTTTCAAGACACAAAACAACGACATGTATCCTTTTTGTAAGACTTTTTACGCCTATGCTCACCATGACCTTAAAGCAAAACTTTCCTTCTTAGGAGCTGGAATGAACTTAATTTGGAGGCAAATTGCTTGAAAGGATCTGAGGCAGAGGGGCAACAAGACTTCTCCAAGGTCATAGACACAGGGAGTTAAAAAAGAAAAAAAAAACACAGGCAATATAAATATGTACTGAATTGGGATCCCTAAAAGCCAAGTGCATTTTGGCACAACTCTATATATCGATAATTTTTCTGCCTCCTGCCAATAAGAGTTGATGATGGGACTCTGTGTGTTCAGTAGGAAGGTGGGGACACTGCAGAGCACAAAATGGCATTGAGATTAAGAAACTTTAGAATATGGACAAAATCATTTTTTTTCCTCTCTTTCCTTAAAAGATAACATGGCAGTTAAAAGAAGAGAAGATGAGGTGACAATCTTATTTTTAATAGTTTTAAATGTTGATAATAATCTTAATATAAATACACACATGTATCAAGGGATTTCTAAAGATTTGTTTACTTTTGTGTTTTGTTTTCCTATATTAATAACTTGTCTTTTCTCCTTGAGTCAAAGTAAGATATGCATCATAGTTCTAATATTAAACATTGGCTCTGATTGTAAAGTGGAGCATTTGATTTAGTAATGGAGAGTTTGCAAACACACAGTGGCCTGCAGCTTTATGCAGTAGTATTCAAAGTGAGGCAGTTCACTCAATTTTTTGCTTTTAAAAACAAGCTAAGATTTGCAAAGCCACACTGTTGAGTAAAAATTCAAATGTATTTTAAAATATATATATATATATGTATTATATAACAATATACTAAAAATGTGTTATACATAACAAAAAATTATTATATATAAAATATTATGTATATATATATAACAATATACTAAAAATTACTGTTGAGTAAAAACCCAAAGGTATTTTAAGATTCATATATATATATAATATATATATTATACACATAACAATATAGTAAAAATTTTTATAGAACTTGCAACCCAAATAATTCTACTTGAAAACAAGGAAACACAACTACATTTAAGCTCTTCTCTAAATAATATTAACTTTCTTTTTGATTTTTAATATTCAAAAACAAACAAAACTGAATTAGTTCCTTCTTAATAAGTTTCAAATAGACCTAGACTGTAATTAGTAATGATACGCATTCACACCCTTAATTATCCACAGGGTAACCAGTGCCCAGGTTCAACTCTCCATATCATATTAAATGCCCAGAGATTCTTTTATTTTAAAATTATCACTAGTCATATTTAAGAGTTAATTCTGCATAGAAGTTAGTGAAATAAAATCTCTATTTTCTTCTTATGTCATTCTTAAGTAAGATATATGTTACATGTTACTCACAAAGAAAACAGGCATTAGCATTATTCTTAACTGTACATATATTTGGCTGGAGAAAGGGGACATTTCCTTTTTCAGTAGTAGTCAAACAATGCAGATAGGTGGAGACCTCACTGCATGCACAATCTTGTGGAAAATAACAGGATGGTGAAAGAGATGGTGGTGGTCGGGGGGAGGGAATGGATGGTAGAAAGAAAGAAAAGGCAGGACATTGGGTATCTAAGGCTAGAGTAAAAAGGTGTTCAAGAAGATGCAAGCAATGAGCCAAATTTTGAAAGAATAAGGGAATATCGTTTGGCAAATCAGAACCCAGAGGCAATCCTAGTGTTGCAGAACAACACGCCAGCTGTTGTTTTCAGTTGTGGCTGCGCTGCCTCTGCAGCAGATGCTGTCTGGCATCCCTCATGGTTCCGTGATGCCTCCCCAAGTCCCAGAAGAGCACTCATGTATCTCTTCCGTTGGAAGTGAAGAGAGGCACGCAGGGGAGAGAGCCAGGGGACTGTGAGCCCCCTCCCATAGTTAGCATTCATCAGAAGGAAGCGGGGGAGAAATGTAGCATTCATGTGTGCTATGAGTCCAGGCGGCACCAAGATTTTCTTATTCTGCTAAAGGCCTTTCTTAGAGGCACGTGCTTTGTATGTCACATCTAAAGGGGGTCACTTTAAAAAGGGTTTCTTCTACACATGAGGAATAGAAATGTATCCAGGCTTTTAACCACAGCACTTGCTATTAAATGACCCCATCTTTTGTTATTCCTATTCAAACATTTTAATCTAAATAGGAATAAAACATTAAAAAGCTTTCCTCTCTACTTACTTGTATTGAAAAGCCTAAATTCCCTAACCAATGCATCTCTATGTGGCTCTTGAGCATTTGAAATGTGGTCATCCATATTAAGATGAGCTGCAAGTGTAAAATACATGCCAAGCTTCTAAGTTTTAGTACAGAAGGAAAATAACATAACAATAGTGTTAATAATTTCTAGATGATGATGATGATGATTATAGATTATTATTATAGAGTCTAGGTTAAATTATATTTTTACTATACTGGCTAAATTAAGTTATAGTATTAACATTAATTTGATCAGTTTCCTCTACTTTTTAATATGTGGCTGCTAGGTATTTAAATTACCTAAAAAACTCATGTTTCTAATGAAGAGTGCTTCTCTAAAATATATGACTTGCATTTAAAAACTTATGCAAAGCCTTTTGTGGGTTCCAAGCAAGAAGCATTATGATTATAATTTGCATTTTAAAAAGATAACTGAAAATGTTTCAGAATAAAAGCAGTTAGTAAATCAATTAACAAATATAACATAGCTATCACTAGTTATCATTAGGCTAAAAATTGAAAGGCATCAAAGTCTTCTAGGATAGTTTACTGTTTATAAATCGAGTCCCTAAGAGAGTCACAGCCATTTAAGGGGCTGTTTTGTGAGATCATGTCACAAAGAAAAATGTTTCCACAAATAGCCTATTTTGAACTAAACTTTTAATATTTGGCTTGTCTAGAGCTTTCTTAAAACCATGTCAGTTATCAGTTATACCCACATAAACTTAACAGTTGCAATGTTAAAGGTCTGAAATGACTACCATGGGAAAGCATTCTCAATTTAGTATACACATTAAATCATATTATTTTCCTATGCAATTTAATGGAAATTATTAGATCGGTGACAATCTCAATAAGCAGAGAATCATAAAAATATTCTACTAGTAAGCTTTGTTTCCCTGAACTGGTGTTTTGTTGGGTTTTTTTTTTTTTCATTTCTTTTGAAGTTGGATGGATACCATGTGGGGGGGGGATCTCTATTAAATAAAAATTCCTTAGAAAAGTTCTGTTTCCTAATCATTTAAATATGTGGCCTCAAGAACAGAGAAGAGAAAGGGCATTCTTCTATCCCTGCCCTATTAATCAAATTTATGCCCAACTCAGATTTTAAAATAAGTACAAGCTTTCTCAAAATATTCTTCCTCTTAGACACTTGATGTTGAAAGTTACAAAGATTAATCAGAGGGTTTTCTGGTTACTAAAATAGTAATTAGAAAAGTATGGTAAATACCTAAGGAAACCCCAGAGAAGGCACATATTCAAAGTGGAAACACCTCTGGGATTCTGTTTTAACCTTTTCTGTCCATGTGACAAATGAGAATGCTACCTTGGTCAAGGTCCCTCAGCAAGCTGAAGGGGCAGCCAGGGCCAGAAAACCATCTTGTTGCATCCCAATCAAACTAGGATGTTTTAATATTTTGTGGGTTTTTTTTTTAAAAAAAAAGGTTCTAAAAATATCTCATACTTTAAAAATAAAAATAATAAAATCAGTGATAATCACTAACATTTAAAGAGCATTTATTTGGTGCTAAGGTATTGAATTAAAGCATATGCTAACACATTTAATCTTTATGATATTGTAATTTTATTTCAACAGATGAGTCCATTTAAACAAGAGAAGTGAAGTTACTTGTACAAAGTCACCCAGCTATATGTGGTGGAGCCAGGTCACAAGCCCAGGTTCTGGAACTCATGTCTTAACCACTCTTTATGTTTATTGATCCTGAATATGAGAAGAAGAAACTTAATATACTCACATTAAGTTCTTGGAGTAAAGGATGACTTTTAAGTATGCTACAAATTTAAGTGTTTAAACTTAGATCACAAATATTTGAGAGTACAGTTTGCAAAAATATTAGTGCCAACACACAATGAAATTATACTTGAAATCACTGTGTAAAAATTCATCAAACAGCCAGGCACAGTGGTGCATGCCTGTAATCCTAGTGGCTCAGGAAGCTGAGGCAGGAGGATCATGAGTACAAAGCCAGCCTCAGCAACATAACAAGGCACTAAGCAACTCAGTGAGACCCTGTCTCTAAATAAAAAAATACAAAATAGGGCTGCAGATGTGGTTTAGTGGTCAAGTGCCTCTGAGTTCAATCACCAGTAACCACCCTCCCTCCCCCCCAAAAAAATAATCAATCAAATGACTTGATATCAAGTAAAAAAGTTTGCATGAAGAATGCACTTATTTTTTTAATATTTATTTTTTAGTTGTAGTTGGACACAATACCTTTATTTTTATTTATTTATTTATTTTTATGTGGTGCTGAGGATCCAACCCAGGGTTTTGCATGCACTCAATCACTGAGCCACAACCTCGGCCCATGGAGTATACTTCTTAGCTCATGAATTGTGGCAATTATTTGTCTGCTGAATTAATGCATTTGGAATTGGTTGCTGCTTCCCCTCTGCTCCAAAGAATGTTTTGTTAGTTTTATGTCATGTTTTAATATGTATTTATGTGTATTTTTCTTGTCACTTTCTCTCAAGGTCAAGAACCATATACTTTTCAAATTTGTTTTTCTACAGTCCAAAGAAAACATTTAATGCAGGACAAACCTCCCAAACCTCTTTGAATTAGCAACAAGTTGTTTTATAGATTCTCATTCAATTCCTATTTTAAACATTATAAAATGTTTTATTAATGATTAACTATTACTAATGTCTTATATTAAGATACATGTGGATTCTCTTGTATGAAACAGTGGTTAAGACAACAAGGTTTGAAGTGCATTTATCTGTGTTCCAATCCCAGCTCTGCTACTCACTAACTCTGTGAGCAGGGTAAATTACTTCAATCCTCTTTTTCTCAACATTCTCATTTAGAAACTGAGAACAATAAATTATACCTCCTTCATAGAATTGCCTAAAGGATTAAAATGAATTCACTTATATAAAAACATGACATGCAATTCCTGGCACACAACTCATTACTGTTTCCACCAACACCATTATCAATGACAACAGTATCATCTTCCCTATCATCATCATCCTCTTGCTAGCACCCAGCAAATTCCTGGTATTTGCTAGGCCTCTGATAAACGTCAAACTGCTTTGAGTTTAAAAAAAAAAGTAGCAATTGATTATTCTCTTAAAATATTCAGACTTCTGTGCCACATTCATTCACTGTGCACCTCTATACATAGGAATTCCAGTGTCAGGATTGGTTTTGCATATAATGGATTTTATTTTATTTAAAGGAAGTGAACAAAATTATTTAAAAAAAAAAAAAGTCACCGTGACTTTTTAGATGAATAGGAAAATATCAGAGTGACCACTAGAGGGAGCTTTGGTTTCAAAGGTTGCTAACAACAAAGCTGCCATTTGTACAGAATTTTCCAGTTTGTTTATTGAATCACTTAGCCTGGAGAAGGGCTGTTCATAAGAAAAGAGGGAGAGAGGGAGAAAGGGAAAGAGGGAGAAAAGGGAGAGACTTCCCAAAAATGAAGAAGTGGAGATACTTTCAGGACTTTACAGACACTATCACTCCCACACTCTCATAATGGAAGTGGAGACCCAGTAGTTTCCTTGTTGGTATTCTTTTGTTCTTTTGTCCCTGCTGAATGATCACCTTACCTGTGTCTTTGCCCCTGTGCTATATAGGCCAGCCGTTCTCCCCATGGCTGCAGCACTTGGTATGCAGAAGAAAAATGAAGGAATCACATTGCTGAGGCCATGAGCCAAAACTTCCTGCAAGATTGAAAATGGGAGAATGTGTAAGTTCTTAATCGCAATGGATTCTTAAAGACCACAGGTACAATTGTCAGAGACAAATTATTGCAAAAGCCTGTTAGTATTCAATTTCTCTTTTCCCCCACAAGTTGGGAGGGATTTAACAATTATAATAAAAATAGCTAACATTTATTGAGTGCTTACAATGAGCCAGAAACTGTTCTAAGCACTTTACTCATTCAATCTCATAACAACCTTATAAGGAAACACTATTTATTTATTCTCTCTGCTGCCAGCTTCTCCTCTTTTAAGTCATTATAATGGGGCTTTTATTCCTATCAGTTCACCAATGACCTCCACAATGCTAAACCCAATGGTTAGATTTTACTTTACCTGGCCTAAAACTTGAGCATTTGACATAGTTACTAGCTTCTTCCTCCTTAAAGTCTCTTTTACTTGGCTTTTAGGACCTTATAACTTTCTGGTTTCTTCCTGCCTCTCTGATCCTTCCTTCTCAATTTCCACTGTGGTTTCTCCTATCTAACCAATTGCAAATACTAGATCATTTCACTTTTTTATTTCTCTTCAGCAATATCTAGCTAACAAAACTATCCAATGACAATTCCCAAATTTAGATCTCCAGCTTCAACCACATTTTGAACTTCAGATCTCTACAGCCAACTTTCTGTTCAGCATTGCCATTTAATGACTAACAAGTACGTCAACCTTACTATCTAGAGTGACAGATTTCTACTACCTCAACTGAGTCCTCCCGGTTTTAGGTCACGTAAAAGTAAAATCTAACCATTGGGTTTAAGATTTCCCCATCTTAAATTTGAAATTCTTAGTCCAAAAGCTTTGGAGTTATTCTAGACTCTCCACACCATTTCTCTCCTCAGCTGGCATGTGGATGTCATTGGGAATCCTGACACTCTCATCTCCTTCATCATTACATCCTGGTCCAAGTCATCACCTCTCTCCTGGATTATTGCAAAAGCCTCCTAACAGTTTGCCTGCATTTGTTGTTGTCAGCAAACACAGAATTCCTGCCTTCAAGAAGATGTGGTTCTAATGAGGGAATATTGACCACAAAAAAAGATAAATATGGAAATTAAAGCAGTGGAGACCAAGGGAAATCTGGAGTTTAAGAGCTTACATGACTTAGTGCCTTCCCTAAGAGAGAAGCACTGAAGTAAAGCAGTTGTGTCAGATATCCAGAGGAACAGCATTAGCTAGAGGATTCAAGGAAAAATATAGATGGTTAGCCATCGCTAGAACATAGTATAAAAGGGGACTGAGAGCAGAGAGAAAATGGGACAGCAGCAAGTCACATACAGTCTTGTCTGCCATGATAATGAGGCTTCTACCCAAGGATCCTGGGAAGCCATGGGGAAAAGTGGAAGAAAGACAAGGTCCATGTTGTCCACTACTGTATCTCTCATGCCTAAGTCGGTATCTGGTACACAGTTAAATCAATATACAACTATAGAATGAATAAATCTTCTTTTCTGAAGATTAAAAAACTGGGACACAGGAATAAAGATCACATAATATCAGAAGTGGGATTTATACACAGGTCTAGCATTCATATCCACTACATCACAGCTTCTTTTCTGATCTGTGCAGCTCTGTAGGGCCACAAAACTTGAAGCAATTCACTGTCAGAAATATATTCAGAAATATAACCAATCTTCATTCTTTGATATTCTTAGAAAAGACCTTCACATCCTTCACTGTCTTACTAAGAACAATACCAGTATTGCACTTTGAAATCCATAATTTTTAAAAGTTAATATACAGTTATAAATACATTTGGATTCTTGGCTAAAATCAAATGATAGAGAATATCAAGGTGCTTTTCTCTCTTTAAAAAAGTATTTTTAAGTCAGGCACCTGTAATTTTTAAGTACACACCTATAATTCCAGCAACCAGGGAGGCTAAAGCTGGAGGATAGCAAGTTTAGCAAGGCTCTCAGCAACTTAGTGAGATGCTGTCTCAGAAAGCACCCCTGGGTTCAATCCCTAGTATTAAAAATATATATATTACATATTCTTAACAATGAAAGCCAGATTTCAGCTTTCTGTGATTGATGGAGATTTTTCTTCTGTTGTTTTCTTTTCTACCATTCGTGTTATACATTTAGGGAAGTTATACTTTTCCTAAGTTCAACATTTTCAGGATCTGAGAGTACATAGAACACTAGTAGAAGGGGGTGAAAATGGGCTGAGGACACACTCCACCTGATTGTCATCGACTGAATATTTGAATTTTTTGGCAGATCCTTGAGCCAGGGCCAGTGAGGCCACGTAGCCTACAAGTGCCACTCCGAAAGCCTCCGTGACTACTGCAGAGAGGATGTTCATCGGGGGAGCTCTAGGTGGAGGAATGCTGTGGAAAGAAAGAGCAAATTGAAGTTGCCAACCTCCATGTAATTTCTTTAACAACTTGCCATGAATGGAACTACAGTAATGACTCTGAAGTTTATGTGAAATAAGTGAAATACCCATGAGAAAACTAAGCAGTCTTGCCCTTAAAAGTCCTTTATTTTCAACATTATTTAGCAAAAAAAAAAAAGCAAAATTGTGAGGAAGACCACACGCTCAGCTCCAAGCATCTAACTGGCACTTACACCCAGGGAATTCAGGTTACATCACAGAAACTGACTCCTGTATCAGAAATTCCTGTATCAGAAACAAAAGCAATTCGGGAATGTTCTTTCATCCAAACCTTTCCAAATATTTATTTGACCGGCATTGGAGATTGTATTTCCTCCCTTAAAGAATACTACAGTGCTATATGCAAACACTAGTTTATTGCCAACTACAATTCTTGGGTTAATTCTTGAATTTGCCATTGAGTTAATTATCTTAATTATATTTTTAACTCAATCCTTTCACAAAACACTTCACGATAGCTTACATATGTTAAGAAAATATGTAGAAAGATTCTATCTACTCTGTTGCCAAATACAGGGACATACTTAATTGTTCTCTGTTTCAAAGAATAGCTTAAAATGTTTCTCAAATAATACCCAGCTTGGGTATTTGAAAATGTTTTCAGAGAATACTTTGAAAACCACTTAAATCAAAGTATCATCATTTATGAGACTTACCAAAAAATCCCTATGGCAAAAGCAGAAGCAAAAGGGAAGTGAATTCATGTTGATTTAATTATCAGTATGTAAGTAGAGTTTTGGTCCTTTCTTATTAGCTAATTCATTTAATTCTCCCAAAATCCCCCAAACCAAGTACCATCATAACCATTTTATGGAAGAAAGAATGTTTCAAGAAAGGTTAGATAACTCATCTAAAATCATAAAGAGAATGGCTGAGTTGGGATTGGATCTTAGCTCCACATATTTTCAAAGTCTTGTTCAATCTATGATTATTTAAGATGGTTCCAGAAAGGTCACTTAAAATAAGAAAATGAGGGGATGGAGGAGAGGTGTGTCTTACGCCCCAATGTAATAATGTTTACCTTTAAGACAAATTGATTTGTATGATTAAGGTCCCAATATATGTACCATAGAAAACTACTACTATGCCAAAGTATGAGATTTTTATTTCATGAAAATTTAGTGTACCCAATGAATAAACTGACCTAAAAAGAAAGAATAAATTTGTTTTCAAGGGTAGAAAGGCAGAGAGAACTTTGGAAAATTCAAGTAAATTCAATTCATTACCCTTAACCTTTATCCACCTAGACAAATAGAGAGATTTTTTAAATTGTCTTTTTCATCACTGAGAATTGTTCTACTGTTCCTCAATTATGGTATAGTTAGAAAGCAAAATTGAGGGGTGGAAGATAAAAACTTAGAGGACCCCACAACTCTAACTTTGTCCCTTATTTGTATATTCAGTCCATTAAAAGCAAACAATCCATAAGACCTTTTCTCTATTATACCTTCTCTTCTTTCAGCCTATTTTTGGAGTGATCTTCTGCCTTCTGGGGTGTACCACCTCCTCTGTTGTTAAAAGTTCTCTTAGGGTCCAGAGGAAGGCTGTAGGTAGGTGGGAATCCCCCTTTTCTTCTTCTAGCTTCCCTCACTATTCAAGTCTACCCAGGCCTGTGGGATTGGTATTTCAGATGATACTTTTCCATCTGTATCAGTGATTTAGGTAAAATAAAAATATTCATAAGAATATGTAGATGGGGGTAATAGGGTTAACTAAACCCCAGTGCATAACTCTAATTGGCAAATTCAATACCTTCCACTTTTTTGAGTAATACCTTTATAAATATTATGTGAATCTTCTACCTGAAATAATGCTATGTACGGCAGTTACCAACGTACTTAGTAATGTATGAACTTATAGTCTAGGAGTACTGACTGTTTCCCTTCACATGTAGTATTTGTTTCTATCATTTTGTAATAGACATTAATTAGAAGTTTGCCCCTTAAGATATACAAAAAGAAAAGAAATGCTTACCCACCCTCCCCCCAAGTCCCTTCCCCTATCAACAAACAAAGAAGCAGACAGACATTATATTTTTAGAAGACTACATTACCCTTTTGGGATATGACCAACTACTTCTAATCCATATGTGTCTTCCATATTGGTACAATAACAAGCAAAAGATGCAGCAATAATCTTCGAGGTTCCATGCGTGGGGAAAAAAAGAAAAATATATTACTGGCCTTTTAAAACCCTTAAAACCACTTTTTGAAGTGAACACTGCATGTTCCATGATTACCAAGAGTAAAGCAGCAATTACACATATTTTTTTAAAATTAGAAAAATATTGGAAGTCCAAAGGTCAGGGATACTGGAAAGATGATGATTAGTAGGTAATAGGTGAACAGGAGCAGTTGGACAGGAGGCCTGAATTCTGTTGATTTATAGCTCAGGAGGATAAAGATGTTTGAATGTTCCCAATACAAAGAAATGATAAATGTCTGAGATGATAGATATACCAATTGCCTGATCTGATCATGACACATTGTATGCAAGTGTTGAAATGTCACACTGTATCCTACAAATATGGATAATTAAAAATATATTTAGAAAGCTCAAAAGGTCACTCTGAATTTTGAAAGTACATATTTAGTCTCAAAATTAGATGATATCTCAGTATTATGGCTTTTCTAATATTTTTATATCAACCCAGTGTGTCCAATTTGGAAGGGAAGAAAGAGACTATAGGGATGAGTGTGTGTGTGTGTGTGTGTGTTTGTGTGTGTGTGTGTGTGTGTGTGTGTGATGTATGCATGTGCATGCACACAGTCACATCAGTCCAACCTAAATACCTGTCTGTCATGACACAAAGGGATGCTTTGTAAAACAGCATATTTTCCCTCCACGAAGACAACCTCTCAAGAGTTTGAAGTGTGGATTAATATCTCTAATCTATGTTAGTAACAAGTGATGATTTACAGTCCTGTGAATGTTTGTGAATTTTGAACTTTTACTATTTCTTTAAGTAAAACATTGGTTCACAGTCATTGGATACATGCTTTTTAAAGGACCCCTATGGAGCTTCGGACACCCTATCATGCTGTTAATGATACACCAAGCAGGGTCACCTGTTCTCTGCTTATGCCCATCATCATGTTTAACCCACATACCCAGCCAGTTCTGCCTGTGTTTTATAGCTATGCCAACTGACTATTTTCCATCCATTTTCACTTTCTCTGTTTAGGATAATTTTAATAGACACTGAGAATTTCACATGGTTATGTTATCAGTTTGGAATGGTTATCTTGTTAAAAGAGATAAACCAATTATATATTTAGAGTACAAGTTACCATACACATGGGCAGAAACAAAGTATAACATAGTTATACTAATGAAATAAGGAATATCTAGCAATTAATGCCCAATAATACCATTTTGTATGTTTTCCCCCTATCTGTACATGTCTGTTGATATTTAACTGAATAAGTTTCTAAAGTATTAAGTGGGCTTAAAAAGCCAAACGGATTAAGGACTTTTTTTATAAATTTATTTGTTTGTTTTATTTTAATTAGGTATACATATGTCTTGAGAATTTTTTTTAAAGATTTCATCTCACTCCAGTCAGAATGGCAGCTATTAAGAATACAAACAACAATAAGTGTTGGCGAGGATGTGGGGGAAATGGTGCATTCATACATTGCTGGTGGGACTGCAAAATGGTGCAGCCAATATGGAAAGCAGTATGGAGATTCCTTGGAAAACTGGGAAAGAAACCACCTTTTGAGTATTTTAATAAACAGAAAAAGCTATAAAACTGCTAACAGATTATATTGTTAAATTTTATAAATATTTTGATATGATAGTAATATTTTAAATCATAGAATTAGCCTTTCAGACAGTGTCTTACTTCCTCATTGTATTTATTTATCAGTTGAGTCTTTGGTCCCTCTTCAGTGTTATTTAACATCATGTGTGTGTATAAGGCCAGTACCACCCTTACACTCAGTCATTAGGAGATCTTGCTGGGGGGGGGGGGGGGCGGTGTTTTAATGATTCCAATCTTGCCCTCCTCCATCTCTAGCCTACTCCATAAATGGGAGTTCTGTAGGAACAGGAAGATGTGCCCAATTCGTACTGTACCTCTCTTTTTGATCTACAGTATGTAACTGAGGAATATATTATTTCATGCCCAAATGGCCCTCTGTCCATGTGTCCATTTCCCTAGGACTATCTTATTAGGGTGTCCCAAGGAAAGCCAAAACACAGTTGTTATGTCTTGGGGAACTGTTTGGAGTTTGGACACGGGAGCAGGAATATCCACACATATTCAGGTGAATCCCCTCATGGTTGGAATAAAGCAGGAGTGGCAAGATAAGGAGCAAGCCAAGAGGCTCTCTCCTCAGGCCACCGCATTCTAGCACAGCTCAAAGAAGTGGGAGAATTCTCCACCCTACCCTGGTTTTCAAGGTCATTACTAGGTTACATTAGTCAAGATAGAAAAAAAAAACACTCCTGTTTTGTTTAATATTTTGATCTATAATTTTTAAATAGTTGAGCTTTTACCAGTACTTTTGGTATAATAGTAATATTTCAAATCATTGAATTAGCCTTTCAGACTTTTGCCATGGGTCTAATAACTGTCACACTGTATATGGAATATCTTTTATTTTAAGAATAGCTCTTACTAGTTTTGCAGAAAATTTCAACTTATTATGAGCTTAAGAGCCTTCCCCCAGGGTTATTTTCAATTTTTTATTTTATGGAAACTTATATTGTATAGCTTCCCAAGATAGGCATTTCTCAATATCTGTAGGACTTTGAGAAATGATGGTATGTTTCAGAATTATTACTGTGAAAGCTAATGATTGTGGCACTCTGAGATCTATGGCTCATTTGAAATATTCACACACATGTGTAGCTCCCATTTATTAATGTGTATCTCACTGAAGTGTCAAGAGTATAGCATCATACTTGGCCTCCATCTCAGTTCTGTAGAAATGAATTGTGCCCTAAAGAGGCAGCTTCCAATGTTCTGATCTTTTATAGTCCTAAACCTACAATATTCAACATTATAAAGGGATATTTTTTAAATAATTGAAATTATTTAGACACTATTGGTAAGATATGTGTGTGTATATATATAATACAAATGCCATAAAGCTATGAATAAATTAGTAGATTTATTAGAAGTGGTTGTGTTAATATTTCAATTTGACACTTTGTTTGGTTAAGGTTCCCATTAAAGGTGATTAAATTTTCAAAACATATATTTTCATGCCACAAGCCTTGGGAGCAAATTATATTGTACTGCTTTGCCAGGTATAACAACAAAAACAAATTTTTTAAAGAGCCTGCCCTACCAATGAAAATTATGAGCATCCTTTCAGTAAGGCAAAATTAGGTGGGTAACAAGTATAAACAAACTAATAATCATTAGCAGAAAAATTTTAGTTGATAATATTTCTCTATATAGCATACAGATGTTTTATCAGTAGGAGGTGGTATCATATTTTATTGCTTTACATAGGATCATGACAGACATGGTTTGAGTCTCACCCTTAGAAATATCTCTTTGAGATCCTAGGTTATATGTTCTCTTATTTATGTAAAAAATTAAAAGCATATGAGAAATGCTGTATAAATTGAGAACATGTGTGCCTCCTTTTTTAAATTATTGACTCAAAATGTTTCCTGTTCTTACATTAATGTATAGCCACGCAAATTAGCCCTACTTTAATGAGACCCAGGAGTAGTTATGGGTTACTGTAGACAATATAGTAAGCATCTGCCGATTACCCCAACCACGGACAGGCTCTGGATAGCAGAAAGCTAAATGTTGATTTCATACTTACCAAAACTAAATCGACAGGAAGAACAACTTTAATTTTCCTTTTAAATTGTTCATTCAGCTCCTTAACAAGAACAAGGACCACGATGCTCAGCAAAGACAAGAGCAGTGCTTCCAGTCGGACAGACTTGATGTTTTCAAAGACGTGCGCATAAATCTACAAGAATGAGAAAAAACATAAACAAAATCCAGGGTCTCCCAAAATATACCAGTATGGAAATCTGGCCCAAAATAAATTCAATTTTGTTTAATAAAAAGGTCTTAATGACTGGGAGGTGGGAATGTAGAAGGAGAAGTAGAGCAAAGCTACATGTTCATGTGTATGTACAAAATTGCTTTTGATTATTCCATCAGACTCAGAGTTTGCTCCCACCTACACAAGGACACTACTGGAAAGAAAGACTCTTCTGGCTTTTTCCCTAGCACTTAAAAGGTAGAAGTTCTAGGACTCATTAGTTATATATAGATTCAGCATTAAGAGTAGCAAGAGGCCTATAGACCCTTTACCTTTGACCCCACCACTTCTCCTCAAAGCCAGAACCAAACACACACATAAGTCACACATAAAGGAGTTAAGAACTGGTATTTAATAGACATCAGATGTTTGGCTTCGTGTAAAATATTACCATGTTCTCAGTCACTCAGCATTTATTTGTCTATTGCCACATATTTATGCCAAGCACTGTGTCAGTGCTACATCTACAGTGAGGAACAACTTATATGCAGCCTTAGTATCCACAGAATATATGGTCTAGTGTAGGAATTGCTAATTAAAATGATAACTAGCACAATATGATGCTATAGATATGGAAGGGGTATCTGAAATGTATAACTTGGAGATGAACCCTTGCCAAGTAAGATAAGTGGGAATTAACTAGGTTAAAGATAGGAAGGAGATAGGTGGGTGAGAAGGAATCTGAACAAAATGTTTTGTCAAAAGGCAATATAACTCAGGCATAGAATGTGGAGAGAAGAGTATAAGATTTCCAAAAAAATACCGTCAGAAACCAATACAATTGTTTGTCTTTAAAAGCAAGCCTATGTGAAATCATGCTGACATTAAAGAATGAGCTTTCTATTAGAAGATACAATCTACTAACATCAGACACTAGATTTTGGTAACTTGGGATAATCTGACTTGGCAGAAAAATGAAATAAATGTAAGAATTAATCAAGGAAAAGAAAAAATAAAGCTGTTTCTAAAATTAAAAGTTTATGTTTATTCAACTAAGTGTCAAATATATTTTTTTCAACAACTTAGGGTCTTGTTGATAATTATATAATCATCTTATCTAGCAGCATAAAAGAAGATGGGGCAAGATTTTTAAAACTTCTAAATTGAGTACTAAAGGGGGGAAAAAAACTAACCTAAATCCAATCCTGTCTCTACCTGAACATTTGATATAAAGAAACCCATCCAAATTTTTCTAATTAGAAAAATAACAACAATTCTCAAATTCATATAGAGTATTAAATGCATAAGAATAAAAGAATTTTGAAGGAGAATATTTGTGAGCTTATACTATCAAACATAAACAAATGCAGAGTAATTGATAATATGATACTAGTATTAAAATCTGTAAGAAAAAAAAGAAAACATATGAAAGCCCAGAAACATATTAATGGCATTATAGAAAAGATTATCCAATAACCCATGTTTGAAACAAAATTAAGTGACATGAAATAAATTCTAGATTAAAAAGGTTAAATATAAAAATTGAAGTCACAGAAAAAGTAGGCATTAAAAATGGGCAGAAGACATAACCAACAAAAGAAAGGACCAATAAACATATAAACAAAGAGCTAAAACACAGTAGTCATTGAGAAATATAAATTCAAACAGTAAAAATCATATTTTTCTTCTATCAAATTATCAGTGATTTTTAAGTAATAATACTTGATGTTGGTAAAATTTGGAGGAAGAAATGAGAAATCTTCTACACTACCCATAGGACTGTGAATTGGTATACTCTTTAAGTAATCTGATAAAACACCAAAAACTTGAAATATTCTATTTTTGCCCTAGCAGCCCCACTTTAAGAAAATTAGCGTATTTACATAATTAGACTTGTGTGAAAAGACCTTATTACAAGGAAGAACTTATTACATGGAACCAGTGTTTAAAATAGCAGAAAGAAAGGAAGGAAGGAAGGAAAGAGGGAGGCAGGGAGAGAGGAAATTAAACTCATTTAAACAGTAGAGCAAAAGGAAAGTATTTCGGTCACTTTCATATATACAATAGTCTACATTCACTAAAGACATTGCTTTAGACAAAACTCATTTTTATTGTCGTGGAAAGGCCTTCCTGTCCTGATGATGAGTAGAAAAACCAACTTGCAGGTAAGTGTATGAGTTGATAGTGTTATGGGCTGAACTGAGTTCTTCCCCAAATTAATGTCAAGTTCATATTTTGAGGTCCCACAGTAGCTCAGAATGTGACTGTATTTGGAGAGAGTAGCTTTAAAGCAGCAATTAAGATAAAATGAGGTCATATGAGTGGGTGTTCATTCAATATAACTGGTATTATTATAAGAAGAGATCAGGATGCTGATGTGCATGCACACACACAAAAATCATATGATGTATAAACATACCAAATGAATCCCACTTGTATAAGTAATTATAATGCACTAATTAAAATAATAATATAAGAGAGATCAGTAGAGTTCAGCAAGCTAATCAGGGGGAGAGAGGAAGGGAGAGGAATAAGAGTAATAAAATTATATGCAGGCATGAGTATGGTATAATGAATCCCATCATTATGAACAGTTATAATGTACTGACAAAAATAATTTTTAAAAGAAAAAAATGTGAGAATGCAACTAAAAAGCATCAATCTGCAAGGCAACAAGAGGTTTCAGAAGAAATCAATCTCCCAAAAGCTTTATTTTGGACTTCTAGCCTCTAAGTCTGTAAAAAATGTTTTGTTGCTCTTGTTTAAGCCACCTCATAGGAGATACTTGTTATGGTAGCTCTACAAACTAATCATATCTTTTGTAACATAAAATTTATGCTTTAAATATCTACGTATGGATATTTCTAGAATAGTAATATTCTAGAAATTCGAGGCTCTGCATAAGATGTCTGTGCCTGTCTGTACCTTGCATATTCTCTCTTATGAGGATTGATCACCTATAATTCTAAAGGTGTTAAGTAAGCCTTAAATGCTAATTTTCACCCTTTTCTCCCCTCTTCTTTCTCTTGGAAATCCTGAATGCGGTTCTCATAACTTCATTTCTGTTTGTCCACAGATTCCTCAAGTCTCCTTTCAGAAGATAAAAAACTAGTTTTTCATTTCAATATGTAAGTTATTCTTATAGTAATACAACTTACTGGTGTTCTTTGTTCTTTAGGCTTAACATCTCAAATATAAGTTGACCACACCCAAAATATTGGGTCAAAATATTATGTAGAATATAGGTAAAATAATCTAGCCTACATTCATTAGTATCTCTTAAAATTTGCTTAGCAGGTTTCCTAATTCAAGAACTCAGCCTACCTGGTCCAGGGATGAGAGGAACACCTTCTGTAAAGTGGGTGCATCAGGCTATCCAAGATGAATTCTATCTATTGAACATGCTTATTAACTTTCTAAAACTTCAAACAAAGAAAATGTACTCTGTTAAAAATGAAGTCTCACTGGGTGAAAAGGACCAGAGTAATGGTCTTATCCATACCATTAACAGCAAACCATCAGTCCCATAACCATACATTAAGAAATGAACCAGAGGCCAAGTAGTTATACTTATTGTTTTCAAAATATACTACTTTATTCCACACCACTTAGAAAGAAAATTCGATACTACAATATCAAAGTTATCTGAGATGCAGATAATATTTTGCCAATTGATCTACATTGTGGATGATAATTATTTGCAGCATTCCTACAATTGAAGTATCAAGATCCATTTCTCCTAGTTACTCATAGTCCATCCAAAATTCTACTCAATGAAATATATCCCACAGGTTGTGGGGTTAAGGGTGATTTCAAAACAATTATGTCAAAATATATGGCTTTCTGACGGTTTATCATGATCTGAGGATAAAATTGAGACAGTTATTCAAATGACTTGTCAGGAAAAAGCCAAACATTCAAATGTTGCAGAGCATTTAAAGAACTCTTCTTTATGTTTTCGTTCCCCCATGGTATTAAAAGTATGCCATGAGAGTGCCTGTGTAAGAAATTTGGGAAATAGGCAAAACTCCCAAGCCATACCAAATTTGCTGTAATGTGCATTTCAAGAACATGTGTTTGCAGTAATAAAAATGGCCACCCCAGAATGAAAGGAATGAAAAAAAAAACAGAGTTTTTATTGTCTGTCTGGATTAAACTATAGCTCATCCAACAAAGCATGTTTTACATGATGCTCCAGAAGAACGTGAGGGGGGTGGGCAAAGGCTCATTGCAATCAGCGTGAAGAACACGAAAGAAAAGCAGGCTGATGAGGAGTGTTGTTCTAATGACTGTCATGTGGACCCACAGAGAGAAGTCACAAGCAAACTGGCTCACAGGAGATGGGTGGCCTACGGAGATAGAGCCAGGACAGACACACATGCACACACTTATATACCCTCACTTAATATAGTTTGAGGCATCCTAAGCACACAATAAACTTTTCATTTCTGGTATAAATCCACTCATCCAAGTATGCTATTATGCACTAAGCCCCAGTACATAAAACTTCTTATTGAGGATCTTTATTTGCTTCCCAGATCTCTGAGAAGAAAGGTAACGTGTATATCTGTTTGGATAAATAAGAAAGCTATTATGTCAAACCTGACTGTCTGGATTAAACTATAGCTCATCCAACAAAGCATGTTTAAATAAAATAGAAGTTCATTTAATAAAATAGTTCATTTAATAAAATAAAAGTTCAGATCATTTTGAGACTATCGCACTAGTTCATTAAATTGACCATTTATTATAATGAAATAAAATGGAAAAATGTTAGTATTCAGAAAGAAATCCATTTTGAGATTTTTTAAGAATACCCATAGTACAGGTATTGATTGATTTTTAATTGGTTCTTTTTAGTTATATATAACAATAGGATTCATTTTGACATAATTATAAAAGCAGGGAATGTAATTTGTTCTAATTCAGTCCCCAGTATTTCCCCTTTTGATTCCCTCTTCCCTCCCCTACTTTCTTCCCTA